ATGCACAGCAGAGCAACTGCATCTCCAGGGAGTTCCTGGCCCTCTCTTTGGATTTAGTGGTACAACCTGTGCTCTGGAACAACCCACCCTGTTATAGTGTTCTGGTTTGCATTTAAAGCTTTCATGTTGTTTTCATCARTGTATTGAGGGTTTCCTCAGCATGCACAGGCTGTATGCTGTATTGTACACACAGACAGAATAAATGCTGTGGCTGTGGCACAATGACAGCAGGCAAATAATGCTGTGAATGTCATTGCATGGACTTCTTGTGGCTTTTGGAGATCTTCTTAGATCTGCAGGTAATCCTCTTAGCCTTGCATAAAGATGGAGCACCATTCTGGMGTGAAACTGAGATGAGTTTATAATTGCACACAGTGATGTCATGGAACAAAATGCAGGTAAAATTGAGAGCTTTACCTTCATTTTAGTGACTTCAGAGAGTGYATGTGGTGTGCCAGGGTGCAGTTTCAGCTGGAAACATGGCTTCAACTTTTTTGGTAGAAGGSTTTTTCCTTTTTTAGGAATGATGTGAGCCTAGAGACCTACCTTCAGGTGGAAGGCAGAGTGGTAGCCCAGAGCAAGCTGTGTSTGGGCTGGAAAGGCACCTTCTAGGGGCTGGGAAAGCATCTAGCAAATGTCCTGACTGACATGGGTCAGATGCCCCATTCGCTATGTACCTTGCAAAGCATCATGTGCTGCTTTTCTAGAGGGTGCTCTGCTGATGGAAAATAGCAAGTAGCTGTTTTTAGACCTCTGCAAAACAAGCAGCACGTTTTTTCCCTCAGCATGTTCATGCTACTTGAATGTCTGTGTGTGCCTGGCTTCAGACTCAGCTGCCTTATACTGGAGGGCGATGGATCTCAAATCTAATCACATCAGAAAGAAGGGAATGGGAATAGGTGGTGGGTGAGGGAGTCAGAATAAATCATCCTCTTTGAAACAGAGAAATTCTTCAAAGGGAAATAGTTTGATCTCTCATTTTACTCATGGTTTATATATTTTAACATTTAAATAACTTGTATTGTCCTTGTGCCCCTTCTGCCATCTGGAAAGCCCTGCCTTCCACGTGTGGTGGCATTGTGTTTTTTTTAATTTATAAGAGGCTGTACAGCTTTCAAACCATGATGGATAATTTTTTCACTAATACACTTTGAATTTTGGTGCCATGTTTCCTTGGGAATACTCAGGGAAAACAGATGGCTTTTGTTTAAGTGAATGAGATGAGACCTTTGATGGCAAATAAAAGCCCCCTTCATTGTCACGAGGCACTGTGCTGCAGGGAGGGTTTGCAGCCTCCCAGTGAGATGGCCTTGGAGAGCTTAATGAAGAGTAAGGAACAAAAGCATCCTAGAGCATAGGGACAGGGAGGAGACACTTTGGCAAAGCAGCTCTGTTCAGTACTTCACTCTCCATAGTTTGTCCTTGTTTGTTTTAGTCGTCTATTCATAGCCTAGCTGTTCAGCAGATTAACATAATGGATGTTTGGAGAAGAGTCAGTGTTCCTTCAAAAGATGGTGAAAATAAAGTGGTGRAAGAGTTGCTGTTTTTATTTGTGGAAGCAATTTCTAAGGTCCATATTGGGAATCAGTTATCAGGGATCTGCTAAATAGACTATTTTCAGGCAAGCCTAATTTCTAGATGCCCAACATGTTCCTTTCTGCTCTATCCCCATCATGTCAGAGTTCAGGTTGAATCCCATACTGAAGATAATTTGTGAATTCTGTAAAAGAAAATTAAATTGGAAGAAACTGATATGCCTCATGGTATTTRTGTCTTTCATATGTTCAGTTTGTGTTAAGATACCCATGGAGTGCTTATGAAAATAGTAAAAAGCAGTTGGCAGGTTCCCTTGAGTGCATAGACATGTGAGCAGTATATTCCTCTGGGTAGCTGGAGGTGCTGCAGATAGTGTGGTCTAAGTTGCCTCTGCTGTTTTTTTGGGGTTTTTGTTTTTTTTGGATTTTGTGTGTGTGTGTGTGTGTGTATTTTTCCCCCCTGTTAAATGGATACCRATATATGTTTGTGGGATATTTTTCAGTAAACATTGATCTATAGTAGCTGATRGTCTTTCATAGAATCATGGAGTGGTTTGGTTGGAAGGATCATCTCATTCCACACCCTTGCCATGGGCAGGAACACCTTCCACTATCCCAGGGTGCTCCAAACCCCATTCAACCTGACCTTGGAYGCTGTAGGGGATGGAGCAGCCACAGCTCCTCTGGGCATCCTGTGCCAAGGTGTCCCCATCCTCACAGGGAAGAATATCTTACCAGTGTCTAATCTAAACCTGCCTCTCTTCAGGTTAAAACCTTTATCAGGTCTTATTACCCTTTCTTCCTGGTGAGTGTCACACTAATATGGAAAACAGTTTACTCACAGCAAGCAAGTGTGCACTGAAATGTAGAGATTGATCCTTTTTTTTTGTTTTGAATTACCAAAGTTTTCTTCCAACTCCTCCTCACTGGAGAATACACTAGACTGCTGTAGTTTGTAGGTGAATTAGGGTACAGAGGAGCCCTGCTAAAAATGCATTTTGGTGGTGCTTTGTTTCCTTTCATCTCTAATTTGAGTATCAGAGTTCTCCTAAGAGCTCGCYGTGTCACATTGGAGCTAGCCTGGGCTTTGCAGGCTGGGCACTCCAGTGCCTTTTAACACATTTTTCTGATACACAAAATTTGAACCCTCATCTCATCAGTAAGATTTAGGTTTGCCTAAGCAAATAATTCTTTTTAGTGGGTCACAGCCAGCCAGCCACGTGTGGGGATTATTGTGGTTTGTTCTCACAAAAATGGGGGGGTTTAGATCTCTGCAGCTTTCTGGTGAACTAAAACTGGGAAGCTGATTCTTTGTGTGACTGTTCTCTATTTTTATTRCTATTTTTTCAAAATTAAGGGTTTACATATTTCACTCTAGAATTTTAAGACAAAAAGTGGTTGGTTGACCTAAAATTGTTAATTAATAAAGTTTGAAGTAGAATCTGAGGCTTGAATAGCCTTGAATATGAACAGAACAGAAAAGTATAATCTGATGCTGGAATATTCAGAAATTCTGAGAGAAGCTCCAGCCCTCACTGAAATTCATCCATGGAATTTATTCAAGACTTAATTCACTGTATTATTTGCTGACATTCTCTGAAAATATTGTTTTCTTTTTTTAATCCACTGGGTRAGCCAAAAGTCCAATGTGCAGGGCTCCTTATATGTGACTGCATGAACCATTATTTACTGTTATTTCAGGGTGAAACTTTAAAAGGATTTGAATGGAGTTAAATATCCAATTCACATTCAGTTACGTGCTTAATCACATTCTGGGTTTTTAGATAAAGGAAATTGTGYTTCCTTCTTATTCCCCTTATTGACTTCATTGGAATTACTTGGGTTCTTAAGTGATAGGGTCTAGCTGCATCATCTCTTCTCAAACGAATTTTGTCATATTTTCATCCGTATACATCTTGGTTTAGTAGATGGAGATAATAAMGTGTTTTTTAAAAGGGAATCAATTCACTTCATGATTTAAGCTGGACATCACAAAAAAATAGAAGAACTTCTTGTGCTGCCACTTGTCATCTGTAGCTGAAGAATACATGGAAGGCATTGACAGGAAAGCTGCTGGTCTGATGGAAGGAGCTGGCAGTCACAGGTGTTGGGGGCTGGTAGGGATGGGACAGCCTTTGACAAGAGAGCGCTGAGGTGACCTTGCTAGTGGTGGTGGCTGTTCCTACTGCAACATCCCTTCCTCCTTGTCCACAACCTGGAAACAAAAACAAATTACCACCCTGGGRTTTGAAACACACAGCCTCACCTGTAGCTGCCCAGGTGTTGCTCATCCATAATTTTTTGGTGTGTTTCGATTAGTTGTGCAGAATGATAATGTAATATAAGAATGGCTATTTAGCCTGAGGCTTGCATACCTCTTCTCCTACAGTCTCTCCTTATGCTGCTAAGATGTATGCTATTTTTCTATTACATGTTATTTTATCCAGGCTGTATGCCTTGAGATGGATCATGCTGAGCTAAGATCTTGGTCCTRAAGTACTAGAAAGTAGGGAGAGCTGACCTGTGAATATCCTCGGAGTGTGTATGTGTCTGTGTCCTTTTTTAATCCCCTCCATCTTCTTAACACAATCCCACCTGACCTTAAAGAAAAGCCAACTATCCCTGTTGCACCTGCATGGAGCCGAGCTCCTGATATGGGGACATTGATTCTACTTCTCCACGTTTTCTTCTGCAATCAGTAGTTGGGTTTTCTCCTTGAAAGACCATTCTCATAGGTTGCTGTTCCAAATGTGTTCTCAGCAAAAATGCTAACATTTGACAGAGATTTAACTAGATTTATAGGTTACACCTGCTCTGTCATTCATTCCCAAAGGGTTTCTAACAATATCCTGGGAAATTCAAGAGCACTGCAGAGCTGTTGAGCGTATTCTCCTGCGTCCCTGCTTGGTTTTGGAGTTGAYCTGTAATTTTTTATGGGAAGTGGGAGTGTTGGAGAGTGTTTCAGTCATGGAAAAGCAAGAGGTTTGTGGGAAACAGRAATATGGAATATTCCAAAGCATTTTTGACTCATTTTTGGTGCTAGCTGTCTGAGAAAAATYATGATTATTTGTCTTTGTTCATTTTGTGCTTTGGGAGTTAAGGAAAAACATAAAAGGAATCATTTCAGCAAATGGTTATTTTCGAAATTTAGAATTGGTTTTTTCATGAATATTCACTTCAGAGTCCACAGGATATAAAGGTAAAATTTGCAAATTGGTAAAGAAAAATACTTGCCCTGTGTTTGGCTGAGCTCATGCAAACTAGTGTACTAATTTTGAAGTGCAGTGGTATTTAGAAATACAGTACCACTAAATCCTCAATTCAGTTTTGCATTAAGACTAACAACTTAAAAGCATTAGTTATTCCCAAGGTTGAATTTACTTTAAAATGTCAGAAAAATATGCTTAATTAAGAGGTATAATGTAATTCTTTTTCACACTATATTATTTTTCTCTATACTTTCAGGGTATAAAGCCAGCAAGCTTTGAGAAAGTTACTGATCCTGAAATTAAGGAGATAATTGGGGAGTGCATCTGCAAAAACAAAGAAGAAAGGTTTGTTTCAAGTGATTGAGTGGAGAGATTTCAAAACTGTCTGTGAGTTGTCCTCTGGTCTGGGTTGTCCTCTGGTCTGTGGGTCTCTCCCRTGCTGGAGAAAACGCAGCATGGAAGAGCAAATAGAAATGATTTYCTGCTTTCCTGACATACAGTATCAGGATAAGTGCTGTTGTATCTCTCAACTTCTCTGCATCACTATGGACCTGAGCAAGGATATTCTAGYGATTTCTGGGTCAGCAGTCCAAAGCATTTCACTTGTAAGGTGCTATAGGGAGAAGCGAGTATGGGAAAGGTTGGTGTGGGAAATTCCTCACAAGCTCTRGTAGCAGATTTCATTGGCCTCTGGATATGGAGGCATGTTGTGCCTTGTTTCCAGTTTTGGTTTTAAAACCTAACCTTTCACTGGTCTCTCCCAGTCTGTTTTGTGCTCAGTATTTCCTGACTCTTACAAATACAGTGTTCAGGGACTGCAGCTGACTACCTAGAGGGAATCTCTTCTTTAGTACTCTTTAAGCTCAGATATGTAAGAAAAGTTGAGCTAAGCTATAATCTGCATTTCTAAGTGCTTGTGGTATATTAATATTGCTAAAGCTTTGAGAAATGGGAAACGTCATTTTTTCAATTTTATTTCCTTTTCAGTAACATGGGAAATTCATTATGGGTGAACACCAAACATACTGTAAATGTTTCCACCTTTAACAGCAGTTTCTTGTTACAAACCTTTCTGAAATTGCTTGACATGCAGTATTTGAATCTTCTTTTTATCCTTTGCAGGTACGAAATTAAAGATTTATTAAGCCATGCCTTTTTTGCTGAAGATACTGGGGTAAGAGTGGAACTTGCAGAAGAAGACCATGGTAGGAAATCCTCTATTGCCTTAAGACTCTGGGTAGAAGATCCTAAGAAACTGAAAGGAAAACCCAAAGATAATGGAGCCATTGAGTTTACTTTTGATCTGGAGAAGGAAACTCCTGATGATGTTGCACAAGAAATGGTAAAATAAGATGTGTCTGTATATATRTGTGTRTATATATAAAGTGSTGCATAAATCTCAATGAGTTGGATAAAGTAACTTCCACTTTAACCTTTCCAGGTGTCCAGTTTAGGCACTTTGCATTGATTTTAGAATGAATACTGCAGGAAAGGGATAAACAGGGAAGAACTAATAATTGAAACATATTGATTTCAGATGCCTGAATTCACAGTTTAAGTAGCTTAGGGACCATAGAGCTCTGGCCTACTTTTGCAAATATTTTGCAAATTCTTTTGTCAGTTTCTGTAGGCTGTTGAATGTCTTTGAATTTGGAATCTGTTTGGTTTCAGACAGCAGCTAGAAAAACATTAGAAGAGTTCAGTAGTTCAATCACAAAATGTTCTGCATTGAATTCTCCAAAACACTTCTTCCCGTCTTTTCTCTTGGTATTTCTTAGAAGGAATGTAGATGAGAGACGTCTGTGGTCAGCCACTTTGCTCCCAGACTTTGATAGGAAACTGGATTCATTGAGTTASGGGTTTGGATTTTTTAACAGATAAGTTTCACTTGTCAAATTTCTGTATCTTCATAGATGTGGGGTTTTGTYAGAGAATCTGTGTTCCAGTTTCACCACATTGTTCTTGAGATCTTATTTTAATGATGTCTTTACTGCAGTTGCTTAGGTGTTCTAATGTCACAAAGGCACAGAGTCAATAAGCACTGAGCCAAGGGTCTGAACGTTCTCATGCTTGCAGAAATGTTCCTGTTAGACTCTAAATCCCGAGGGATCCCRTTCAGTGATGTCATCACCACTCTTGTTCTGCTCAGGAGGCACTCATTTTGGTAATGCTGCCTTGCTCTGCAGGAACTCATCACCATCTGCTCCAAGTTTAGTGAGAGGAATTCAATCCCCTTTGTCTTCTTGTCATTGGTTTGCAGTAGGTCCAATGTTTTGAAAGTAAACAYATTATTACAGTACTCATTTAGTTTAAAAATTGCTCTGGTAACATTAGTTACTATTATGTTTTGCATTTAAATATTGATGGAAATATTTGGAATTTTGAAGTTTCTGAGTTGCTTGGTCCATAGTTGTGATGTTTTATTTCGAAGAGGAAATTCTCATAAAAAGTATATTTTAACGGATCGTGTTGAAACTACAGTGACACTGCAATCTTTCCCAAATAATTCCCAAATAATTTTAAAATCTGTATTCTGCATTAATACTTACCTAAGTGACTGCCCATGCAATGCTTTCAAACTTGAGGCTGTTGTAGGGGCAAAAAGGGGGACATTTATTCCTAAATGTCTTTTGCGAGTCCTTATGAATTGTGGAACACCGAAGCCTTGTGCTTTCATCAATTTGTTGATTTATGTGCTGTGGAAGAAAAGAATGCGGGGAACCTTCTGAGTACAGGGAATTATTTATCATTACTCATGTGTTTTTGGTGGTCAGGCAATTCCACCTGCCTGCCCAAAGGATGTGGACAAAGGGAAYGTGAAATGTTCTAGTGGGTTTAGAAACTGAAGTTAGCTCTCCCAACYGGTGGGTACTGCCAAGGGGCATGGCTTCATTAAAATGAAGCTATGTTTTTAACTGCTTTGCAGCCATTCATTTTAACAATGAAAATCTAAGCTGTGAAAGTGTCTTATGTTTGGGCAAGAGCAAAGCAGGAAAGCCTCCAGATTTCCCCCATGGATATAAATGCTTTCAAATCTGTCAATATGCCTGTTAAGAATGTAGGGAGAGCAGACAAAGCTATGGTAGGTCATTACTAAACAAAAATTCATGCCCTGCACTGCAGGAGATTATGCAAACAAATAGCGGGAAGATGAATTTCCATTTTATCTGTTGAACAGTTGAGTTCTGAGAAGCTCATACCCTTTTCCATCAAATGGGAACAGTCTGCTTTTTCTTTGTAAAAGTCAATCAATACTGACTGRCTTCACTATTTAAGAGAAGTTAATTTGTGACATAATTCTGTTAACATCTCGTCCTTCATGACCTGCTGTCCTATCAAGCAGAGCAGTTTAGAAAACTGTGTGGTGGAAAGGCTAAAGCAATAAATTCAGATTTAGGGACAGTTTGATTCATTCCAGTTGCATTGTTCAGAGATTCTTCTTCTACTCTTTTAGTGTTAAAAGGAAATAAAAGTAGGGGAACCCATCTGCCATTAAACTTGCTCCTCTCAGTGGATGTTTGATGGTGGATCATTAGAGCCAATACATATTCAGGTCTTAGAAAATACGTCCTGKTTTTTTTTTAATGCAATAGAAATAGAAGTTTTACTGAGAAAAACCCCAGCCCATCAAGCTCTTGAGTTCCCATTCTTGTGAGAAGTACATTTATATATATTGATATTGTTTCCTCGGAAAGAGATTTGAGCATTGTGTGTGTGCTTGTGTGCATGCACAGCCATGTGATGGGACCTTGTTGTGTCTGTGCCTCCTCTGTAGATTGACTCGGGATTTTTTCATGAGAACGATCTCAAGATAGTGGCGAAGTCCATCCGTGACCGGGTAGCGCTGATCCTCTGGAGGAGRGAGCGCATCTGGCCGAGGATGCAGTCAGAGGAGCGGCGCGACTCCGAGTGCCTGGAGAAGTTGAAGGCGCCGCAGGCACAGCAGGTCCAGGTCACCTACCTTTCCCACACCGGGCACCACATCCTGTCAGAGCCAGAGGAGCCGGAGGCCGACCAGCACCCTTTCCAGCAGAACCTGCCCACCAGTGTCACCTCCGTCGCATGTAAGTCCCATGTTGACTTCGTGGGCGCGCGGGGACGAATGGRTGAGGGTGAAACACACAGAGACCTGAGCTCAGATGAACTGATGGGTGTGGTTTTGTATAGTAGCTCAAAACACACAAATATCCAGGACAGATGCATCACAATTTTGAAAGCAATGAAGTTTCAARGAAACAGATTGTATAGATATCTCTATATAACGCTGCTTTGGTAGCAATTAATGYCAAAACCACAACATATTTGTAAATGGAAAAGCAAGACCTGCTGCTCAGCACAAAAATTGCATGTTTTCTGTGCCAGCTGGTGGGATCAACTCTTTTAAATTTGTGCAGAACATGATTTCAGAACCTGCAGAAGTTGAATTGGCACCAAACTGATAGAAGATCCTTGTGGATCCCTTCCAACTTGGGGTATTCTATGAGTCTATGATTCAAACTGGACATTTTTCAAATGATGTTGGCCATGTGGAGATGTTTATTGCAAACCAGACCTTACTGAAACCAGGGCACTGCAGACACTTGTATGTTGGAGTGACTCTTGATGTCTTGCATGCAGTTTTTTATGATGCTGTGCAGACGCCTGTGGTAGGAAAAAAAAATCCATCTCTGGATGTTACATGATGTGATTTAAGATTTCCCTGTTTTGTGGGAAATGCCAGCAGTATTTTCATCAGGCATCTTGGGAGCACCAGCCAGACCTGTGGACTGGCACTGGAATCACTGTTGGGTCCTTGGGTCATGGTCAGGGGCTCATTCTGTTCCCCCAGGCTCTCTTTTGCCCCAAGCTCATGCCCTGAAGCCAGGGGCTGTTTGATTTTCCCTCTGCCAGATCAGAATAGCGGGTCACTGTTCTGCCAGCCCTTGACTCTGCCCTGGTCCTGRCCCCTAAAATCAACCTTTGTTACTGACTCAAGCTCTGGTATTGAAATTTGAATGTTTGTACTTCTAAATATCTTAAAGGAAACATTGCCAGATATTTCAGCCACATCTGTGGAAGTGTTCAGGACTTGGTTGGAGCAACCTGGTCTYGTGGAATGTCCCTGCCAAGGGCAGGGGATGGAAAGAGATGAGCAYTAAGGCCCTTCCAGCTTGGAAGACTGAAATTTTATGAGAGTTCTTTTGACTTTTCCTAGCCAGTTTCTCTGATGAAATCTGATATGCTTATTTTGCTAAACAATTGCCACAGAGTTTCTGTTTTACTATTCTGGGCTTGTTYATAACCATATTTAAGTTAAAGATGTATTACCTTTAGCGAAGACACAGCTGCTGATTCAATTCAGGTATTGAATAAAGGGCTACACTGAGGTCTGCTTTGAATACTGAAATATCCATGTGTGCCTGTACAGGAAAAATCCCTTTAYGTGATACGTGAAATAGCCACATTTGCATAACACTCACAATATTGCCATATTCACAAGGCTTTTTGTCTGAAGCTAAAATTAGTCCATTTCATTCTTTTGGATCATGTACTTATTTCATGCTAATTCCTTTGAGGAACACTCCAGTTATGACTCTTTGTTTCTGGTACTGCAGTGAAGTCACTTGTGCTTCCCATGGTTCTATTGGACATGAGTTGGCAAAATTTTATACTAAATATAACCCCACCAATTTATTTCCTACTCCTCCTCAACTTTTAACCAGTACTTGGTATTATTTGACAATTTGCCATCAGATTATTTGAACGTTTTTCTTAGCATAGGACCTCTATAAATTAGTGTGGCACCTATTCATATAGTTTGATGTCAAATGTAAAAGTGGAAATTAATAACTTAATTTATGCAATGTACATTCTATAAAAACCTGAGACTGACTCACAGCTTTTACTTTAGCACTCTACCATTAGGCTAATTTTTTTTTCCTTTGAGGTCCTGAATAATTGTTTGTWATAAAATGTGTCTGCACATACAAAATGTGTATGCAGCAGAAATCCCAGTCCCATCATAAGAGTAGGGCTATGTTGGCTCTTAATAAATAAACTGAATAAATAGATACAGGAATTTAATTTTGGGAAAAAAAAAGGAGAATAGTTTGGGAATACTGAAGAAAAATGTCATCTCTGGTTCTATTAAAAAARTAATTTGTTATTTAAAAGCCAAATAAGTAAAACTTCATTTAGAATATGGAAGAAAGAGACAGTGGAAAGTGTTGGAAAAAGAAATAGTGTTTAAACTTAGCTGTAGCTTAAGATGGTTTTTTAAAATGTGTTGCAGTTTTCTTTCATTTTTGAATTTTAGATCCCTGCTAGAAGCTATTTGTCCTCGGGATATGACTAGCTATGTCTGGTTATCTCACTTCCTTTCTCAAGTGAAGAAAGCAGTAACTTAGGCTCAAAAAGAGCTGGGCACTTGTATTTTACCCCCTTTAAAAGTTGTGAAAAGACATTTTAAAATCAGTATTTTAATCCAATATTGCCACTGGATGAAGAGCCCAGTGCTTGCCCAGTGTCCATAGCTGTGCAGTTCCACAGGTTAACTGGGCAAATGTTCCACATTTGTGAAACTCCCACAGAGCTCTGAGGGTGCCAGACCCATTGGAGCCTGCACCTGGCTTTGTACCTGACCTTCAATTGCACTGCACTCAAGCAGGGCATAACCTGCTGGACCAGATTCATAAGAATTTTGTAATTTTCATTGCTGCTAACAAAAGCAGTGCTAAAGTCAGTGCATCCCCGGGAGGTGGAACTCTAAAAGACCCATGATCTTCTCTGAACATGACAATTGGGGTTTCCTCTCCTTTCATCCTACAAAATCTATAAACATCTGCAATGCTTAATGTCAACCTTATGCCCTTTAAAGGGAATATTAATGTGCCTAAAATATCAGTGTGCACAGAAATCCATGGGGATGGGTTTTGGCTTAAGAGAAGCAGTGTGTGCCTTTCGTAGAGAATAACATTTGTGTTGTATAATTTATTTATATAACAAAATGGCTAGAGTAGCAAAAATGCTAATTACATAAACCATGGTGACCTTGCTCTAAAGTCATCACTTGAACATTTAGAGTTGTTGAGCTTTTAATAAAAATGCCTGTTCTTCCAGCTGACAGCACGTTTGACAGCGGCCAGGGCTCCACTGTTTATTCCGACTCCCAAAGCAGCCAGCAGAGTGTCATCTACTCGTCGCTGCCGGAGGCGGTGCCTCCTGCCATCCAGCGGGTCTACAGCCCCCCCCTGAGCGAGAGCCAGCCCGGGCCCCACAGCCTGCCGCAGCTCAGCCACTACCAGCAGCCCTCTGCAGTAAGTCTAAAGCTTTTGCAAGTAATTCTGTAACCCTGGAGCGTGTTTAATTCTCCTCTATACCCTTGCTTCCAGAGGATATGGATTCCAGGGGTCTCTGTGTATTCCTCAGTCACCTCTGTGGGTAGGGACCTGCTCAGGGGCACRTTTCTGGCTRATAGGAAATGGGCCTGGCTCACTGWGTTGGCCATTGTSCTTCACTGGCAGCTCTCACACAGTAGTAAGAAACTTTCAGTTCCTTATCAATCTCTTGGCACTGAACTATATTGGTGGCTTTGCAGCAAAGCACAAGGAGGACATAGACCTGTTGGAGTGGGTCCAGAGGAGGCCACAAAGATGCTTCAGAAGCCCTTCTGCTGTGGAGACAGGCTGGGAGAGCTGGTGAATTTAGAGAAAATAAAGCTTTGGAAAGATCTTAGAGCCCCTTCCAGTGCCTAAAGGGGCTCTRAGGAGAGCTGGAGAGGGACTGGGGACAAGGGGTGGAGGGACAGGACACAGGGTATSGCTCCCACTGCCAGAGGGCAGGGACAGGTGGGATATTGGGAARGAATTCTACCCTTTGAGGGTGGARAGGTCCTGGCACAAGGTGCCCAGAGAAGCTTTGGCTGCTCCATYCCTGGCAGTGTCCCAGRCCAGGTYAGATGGGGCTTGGWGCAACCTGGGATAGTGGAATGTGTCCCTGTCCGTGACAGGGAGTTGGAATGAATTGATCTTTARGGTCCCTTCCAACCCAAACCATTCTGGAATTCCATGATTCTGTGTTTAATCTCCTGGTCATAGTTGAAGACTGTTTCATTTTGCYTGCTGCTGGTGTCAGCCTACATTACTGTTCCTTCTTTGAGAGCTTCTTGGCTCTGGTGTTCCCTCCAGCTGTGACAAGGCTGGCAGGGTCACAGAGTCCCTGTCTTTGGTGTGGGTTGGACCTTGTGTGCAGTCGGTGCTGGATGTCCCATCCTGGGGCTCTGAAAACAGGTGCTGGTAGCCCAGTCAGATATTCCTACCTGCCCCATTCAGGCTTTGGCCAAAAGCTCTTCATGGAACTGCCGGTCCAAGGACAAACACGCACGAACAAGCAAGATCTTCGTGTGCTTCCAGTGAGGGGAACTTAGGAGCTGTGGCAGGACTGTGTCCCAGCTTCAGCCTCTGCCCRTCACATGTGACAGGCCACCCTCMTGCTGCTGGCTGTGACTGTGACTTGCTGTGCCACATCCCTGCCCCGAGGAGTGGGAGAGGGGGATGTGTCTGTAGGGCTGAGAAGGGGCAGCAGGTGTGGTGTCTGTCATGGTGCTGGGGACCTGCAGGCCCTGGAGAGCACACATGCCCTCGCCAGTGTCCTCAGGCCTACACAGACCATTCATTTTGGTCTGGCCAAGGTCAGAATGCCCGCTGGAAGTTCTCACACCCCATGAGATGACTCCCTGAAAACASTGTTCCAGCCCCTTGCCCAGAGCAATGTCTTCACTGTGACAGGTGTTCTGACCTGCTCTGCTACAGGAATCTTTACAAGACAGAATTGGCCATAAGACCTGCAAGGTTGCAGAAAAACATTCCGAGTCCTCYGATGGCTGCGAAGCTTGGAGCACAGACACAGGCTGCCCAGGGAGGTGGTAGAGTCTCCTTCCCTGGGTGATACTCARGGTCTGTCTGGACACAGTCCTGGGTAACCTGCTCTTGGGGTCCTGCTTGAGCAGGGGGGATGGCCTAGATGACCTCAGTGGTCCCYGCCAACCTCAGTCATCCTGTGACTCCTCCATGAGAAGCCTCCATGCCTAGCTGGTCCTATCCCAGTGYCCTAGCTGGGCACTGAAGTACCCTGAGCAGTAAAAATGACAGGAGTGATGTGGTAGTTCATTTATTTATTTAATCCTAGTTGTCTTAAAAGAAGAAAAAATTAAATCCAGGACCAGTGKTTTTTTTTTCCTGCTTGATCCAGATTTACCGTATTTTTCCTGCTTGATCCAAATTTACCAGATTTACCACGTATGCACGYGGGAAGTGCATAATTTAACCTAGTTTTACCTTTTGTTTTTCCAAAATATTAACAAATTCCAAAGTATATTTTAAAAATGCATCTGCTTTGTTCACTGGAAGATGACGAATTCATCCTTGGCATCTGGAAGCAGCTCCCTCCACTGTGTAAAGTGCCTTTCCTACAGGCACAMATCTCCAGGGATGGATGGAGTGCTCTCCCCTTCCTCATTTCTTCTTCACCTGAGGCACCAATTCAACACCTGTAAATCTAGCACTCAAAAGCCCCCGTTGAGCAGGGGCTGTTACAAAGTTGAGCTGTGCAGCACACAAAGGATTCTACCATCCTTTCCATTGATGGGTTCCAGTAATTTTAGACTAAATGCWTTGCTGGTTGATTGAGGTTTTGAAAAGACAACAGCCTTTCTTCATGAGCAAAGTACTACTCCTAATTTCTATTTTCTGATGGGGCTTTCCATGGCATTTTCTTTTTCTGATCATTTAATTCYGAGTTTGGAAAATCTCAACAAATATAGGAAATAAAAATCTGACTCAAACTTTTCTGTTTTCCAATTAAAATAGAAGGCCTGCTTTATTTATCTGGGAGATTATTGACCAAGATGACAAGCAGATAACTGRAGCTGTAGTGGGTTTTTTTAGGCTTATGAGCCTCAGCTGATACACTGTTTATTTTTAATGTATCTGTTTTGTTGAGCTGAAGTTGTGGAGAYCTGATGTTGTTGAAACCTGATCTGAATTTCTATTTCAGTTTTTTTCACTTTCACTATGGTTTTAATTTGTTTTAAATTTGTTTCTCATTTCTCTAATAATATTCTGACATCCATTTCCAGTAAATTATCTGCTTTTTTAAAAGATAAATATTCTCTATGAAATTAGAAGACTCTTTTTGAAAATAAACTTGATTCTGGTCTGTTCCCAGTCACTGTGACTGTGCTTCCACTGCTTTTACTGGTCTGCATGCTTGCTTCCAGAAGGAAATGCAGTACAGTTGCGTTGACTTATTTGGAATTTGCCTATTCTTTAGGTGAAGTGATTWTCCATTCCTTGCAGATAACTTTTTTCCCCTGTTCTGAACCATGTCCCGAGCAGTCGATTTACTCGCGGTTGTGTTCTGAGGCAGCTGTAGAGCCTCAGACGCAGTGGTTGCCCTGGCTAACGCCTCTGTCTCTCCACAGCCCGTGCTGCCCGCAGTGCCAGCAACGCCTGCCGTGGTGCCCCAGCACTACCAGGAGCCAGCCATGCCGTTCCCTGTTGTCCCCAGCACCGTCGCCTCACTGCCGCTGGGACAGCCACCGCCGCCTGTGCTGGCCGGCCAGCAGGTGAGAGTTGGGCTTGCCACAGAATCCTACAGCCCTTCCCGTGCCAGCCCTCGCCTTCCCTTCCCCRTGCTCTGCTCCAGCTCACACAGCTGTCCCAGAGCAGCGGTGGCTGCCGCACCCCTACAGGTGTCCAAGGCCAAGCTGGATACTGGGGCTTGRAGCAGCCTGGGATAGTGGAAGGTGTCYCTGCCCATGTCACTGGGTGGGACTGGATGGGCTTTAAGGTCATTTGCAACCCAACTATCCTGTGATTCAGGATGTAGGTCTTTCACCTGTAGCGACTGTAGGATTCAGATGATTCAGCTGTAGTGACTTTGAAGTGTTTGAAACTGTTCAGCTGCTGTTGGGAGATTTAGGGATAGCGYGGTGATGTTTGGCTGAAGGGGTAAGTAACAGGCTTGAGAACCGTCATGAACACCTTGGCATGTCTTGGTAGAGGTTATGCCTTGTCTTGCATTGTGGCTTCACAGYATCAGCTTGAAGCTTTGCATTGGTATCAACGTGCTGTCTTGATGYGTAAAAATCAAATATTAATGATTTTGTGTTATTATTTGTGACYTCCTTTCTAAAAGTTTAAAAGGAGACTCTTGGCCTGATAGCCGTTGTCTCTCCGAACAGTAACTCTTGTGCATTTTGAATTGTCAAATCCCATCCCAAACCCTGCAATCCTTAAAAGTGTTTTTAAAGCAGCTCTCCCCAGCAGTGGAGGGGTGCTCTTGTGAGGGATGCAGCCACAATCTAGTATGATGCAGTAATTCATGGCTCGTTTTGGTGAATTTACCTAAAACTTGCTAACTCCTCTTTCAGTAGAAACTGTTGCAGGGGCCAGAGAGTGTCTATTATTTGTGACTGGCATGAATCATACCTCTCCAATCCTTTTATCAACACTTACCTCACAGGTTGCCTTTAGGTTTATTTCAACATACCCCACTTTTCTCAAAAACATCAAGAATGGAGAAATGTCATTTGGTTTCCCTGAAAAACATATCCTTGTGTGAGGTTTTGTCACATAACAGGCTTTTTATTGAAGGGTAGGGATGTTCTCATAGTTCTCTCAGCCAAAAATTTTACACTCAGGCAGATTTAGGACCTTATAATTTGCACAGGTCTCACTGTTGGCCTCTGGTTCTTTATGCTGACAGCTCCAAATCTGTTGTTTATTTTCCCCCATGAAGAAATTCTGGTTTGGTACAGGATATTTACTCAACTTAACTTCTTTCACATGCCCTTTTCTCACAGCAYTTTGTCTCTTGGAATAGTTCTATCCCAGACAGCAAAAGGATTTAATAACTGGTCTGTCTTTGCTTTCTAATATTTTCAGAAATCCTAATAAAAGACTGGCTTTTTACAGTGCTATTTTTACAAAAATAGGTAAAATGATCAAGTTTCTCTGTAGAACTTCCCAGAGTATCTGGGTGCCTCAAGGAAGGCAGTGTCCAGTGAATGTTCATACTAAGAAGGGTAGGGCATGACAGCAGAAGGGGAGATTAGGGTGAGAAATTCATCTGCCTGCAGAATGAATTGTATTGATCTTGTATCAATATATASTGGTGGGTCACACATGTGTGATGAATGTTTTATCTCCTAATTTTTATTTATTTTTCCAATTTGGCTGTCTGTGCATTTATACTGTAGAGGTTATAATGAGACAAAGTTACCTAATCTACCTGGACCTTTTCCCCTCCCTGTGCCTCATCCAATTCACAAGCATTTTCTAASACACAAGCTTGGATTAGAAAGGAAGGTTTTAGGAAGCTGCTCCCTTCCCTGAACAGAGTTTTCCTGCTCTAATGCAGTGTCTTYCTGAGTGGAAGGTGGCTGAGCCACACGTGCCAGTGGCCTCTGTCCTTGGTGAGCCATGYACAGCCGTCTGAGCTGCAGATTAACTCAGCTGAGGCACAAGAGTGGAACTGCCCTGGGARCTGGCAGCTTTATGAGCTCCAGCCCAGCATCGTGGGCGTGCCGCTGTTCTGCTCCAGAGCTTGGGTTTGGTCTGGCAGGAGCTCCTCCATGGACTGGATGGGGTCCAGCCCATCCCAGGTGGGGTTCCCCTGTCCCTCAGGCAGTCTCTACCTCAGCCAGTTTGCTCTGCCCCATAACCAGTGTCAGGCCAGCCTTGTTTTGCCATTCCCTTGGATTTGGAATTGTATCTTGGAAGATGCCGCCTCCTTCCCAAAATATGAGATGGCAAAAACTGTAGCACAGAGCCATGATTTTGGGTTTTGATAGTATGTGGCAGAGCAATGYTCTGGCATGACTAACACACTGCAGGAGCCACACTGAGTCTGCAGGGAGTTCCTCTGGGCCATCTCCAGTATGACTGAGGATGTGTGTCACTGAGTGTGACAGTGTGCCCTTCTTGTGGTACTGAGTGTCATCAGCCCTGGGTGTGCCACACCAATCACCAAATTCTCTTTAGTTCCCTGATCCTGTGTTAGGAACTTACTAGTCATGGCTGAGTTTTAGCTCTTTAAGGGTGGATGATAGCATCTCACTTCTGTGATATAAAGAGAGGCTGGGAGAACTGGAGCGTTCAGCCTGGAGAAGAGAAAGCTCCAGGAAGACCCTTCCAGTGCYGGAAGGGCCTCCAGGAGAGSTGGAGGACTTTGGACAAGGGCCTGGAGGGACRGGACAAGGGGGAATGGYTTCCCACTACCAGAGGGTAAGGTTAGATGAGATATTGGAAAGGAATTCTTCCCTGTGAGGGTGRGGAGGCCCTGTCACAGGTTGCCCAGAGAAGCCTTGGCTGCCCCGTCCCTGGCAGTGTCAAAGGCCAGGTTGTACGGGGCTTGGAGCAACMTGGGATAGTGGAAGGATGTCCCCACCCATGGCAGGARGTGGAACAAGATAAGTTTTAAGGTCCCTTGCAACCCAGCCACCCTGTGATTTTATGATTCTGTGGTACTTCTGCTGGAGTTTTATTCCATTAATACCAAACTTGTTGAGAAGTCGTGTCATTAGAAAGATTCAGAGCAACACATGCCCATACCGACTTTCCGTGGAAGTGGTGAAGATGCAGGATTCTAAAGTTTGCCTTCTGACCATAGGCATGGTGTGAGGTTCTGTGTGCTGCAGGGTCTGGTGAAGCCACCAGCCCTGTRGTCCCAGGGAGGTCATCCTGAGGCAGCCTATGCCTCAAAGTCATCCTTCTGAACAGAAAAGGTTGTTTAAGTACTTCAGACCTAATAAGGGGAGCTGAAAAAGAAGATACCAATAGCACATTAAATGTGGAAGTTTGTTACTGATGATTTCCAGCTTTAATGCATTTTTTTCTCTGTTTTGCTGCCCAAAGCCTGGCAGGCCAGAGGAGCACTACTTTCCCTGGAAAAGTAAAGCTGCTTTTTTGACTACCACATTGTACTACAGTACATCAAAAATAACTGAAAYCTAGCTTTTACTGCAATTATTGTGGTCTGTTGTGTCTCAGGTAATAAGTGTTGTACTTTCCATGCCTCCTCCATWATGTAGAGGCTTCTGCTTGCCAGGATGAGCTGGGTATTATCTGCATCTTGGAAGTTAGTGGGTGGGGATATCACAGGGCCAACTGGAACAATCTCTGGGAYTTAAAGAGTCTGAGTCATTACAAAGAACCTCTCCAAGGCAGTCAGCACTTGTTGTTTTAGGTAATATGTCTTGCTTCTAAATGTGTTTTAAGCACAGGCTCCTGTGTAGTGTTTTAATTAAGAGTGTTCATCTCTCCTGGGAGCTGTTGCTGCTGGAGCGCAGCCTGAGGGGCTGGAGCAGGGAAGGGAATGGACTTTGGGAAGGGTCTGGAGAACCAGGAGCAGCTGAGGGAGCCGGGAAAGGGGCTCAGCTTGGAGCAAAGGAGGCTCCAGGGGGACCTTGTGGCTCTGCACAATTCCTTGACAGGAGGTGGCAGCCAGGGGGGTCAGGCTCTGCTCCCAGGGAGCAGGGACAGGAGGAGAGGAAATGACCTCAAGCTGTGCCAGGGGAGGCTTAGATTGGATATTAMGGAAATTTTATTCACAGAAGGAATAATGTTTAAGTGTTGGAATAGGCTATCCAGGGGAGTGGTGGAGTCATCATTCCTTGAAGTGTTCAAAAAATGTTTTGAAGTGGCACATGGAGACCTGTTCTAGTGACGGACCTGACGGTGCTGGGTTAGTGATTGGACTCAGTGATCTTAGAGCTCTTTTCCAAMATTAATGAGCCTGTGATTCTATACTCCAGGCGACAGCTCTGTGCCGACAGTGAGCTGGAGAGGAGCGGGAAGCATGTCTAGCCACCTGGTTCTTCTTGGGTACACAATAACCTTTTTCCCTCTGGTCCCTCGCAGCAGCAGCCCATCTCGCAGCCTGCCTCTCTGCAGCAGGTGCTCGCCAGCCAGCCCGTGTGCCCAATGCCACCRGCCCCGCACCTGCTGCCGCAGTTCCCAGCGCAGGGCTCGCAGGTGGCCGCCAGCAGCACCCCTCTGAAGCCCCTGCAGATCTCCACCGTGCCGCAGCTGCCGCCCGTGGCCCCTTCCCAGGTAATGTGCAGGAACACGGTGTGTGAGCACACCCATTTGAGGGGAGCTTTCCAGCTAATGATTAACATGATTTGCAGGTTTTGTATGGCTATTTTGACTGCATGCCAGTTTCATTAGGTCATAAGAATATTGCTTTTTCCTAATTATGGCACATTACTTTGTTGTTTGTTTGGTGAGTCAGAAATCTCCTTCGTACCCATCCCTGTGCCATCCAGTTAATGGCGGTTCCAAAATGGCAATACATTTTTTTGGTGTTGTTTTGATTTGGTTTTTGGTACTGTMCCCTCTGGCACAATCTCTTCCCCATCCCAGCCTAGAAAGCATGAGAAGTTGCCCATTTTTTTTTAATTTTCTGACCTCCTTACTTCACCACTTTCCCCAAAACCTGCTGCCCCCATCCCTGTCTCTCTGCTCTGGTTCTGTCCTCTGGACCAAGGACAGACCGTACCCTTGGTCTGGAAGGGTGGACAGTGCTGTCACTGTGTTTGGTAGTGACAAGCACTGTATGTGAAGCAGTTTGTGCCAAAGGGCAGAAGCAAGCTGCTGCAGTACAGCCAGTGTCCGTTCCATCACTGGGAGGTTTTGATTGTAAAAACCATTTTTCTGGGCTCTTCTGTGCTGCCTGAGTAGCAGCRTGTTTGAAAACAAGGGTTTAAATTGTCTGGCTTAATTTTGCATGAAAGAGTTTTGCTTTAGGTCTGGCGCAATTCCTTTTAACTTTTGTTAAAATGAAAGCAGCTTTTAATTAGGACTTGTTGCTTGAAGGCTTCAAGCTGGTGTTAAAAGTAGCTTTAAGCTTCTAAGGTATGAAAACATCCCCCCCAAATGTATTTTTTTTGCTTTTACTAATGATYTAAGCATAAATCAGTTTTTATTACTGTTTGTGAACCTTAGGGAATGAATGGAAGCGATTAACAAACACACATATTTATCCTCATGGTGCAGGTGGTTTTTAGGGACTTGTGTGGCAAATGAAACTGCTTTATACCATCCATGAAAGCACCGACAATTTATGCGATATTATATTTTTTTCAGATTCCTCAGTTTCCTGTCATTCCTGCAATTACTCCTCTGGCAGGGCTTGACAGCCTTCCTCCAAACCTCTCTGACATACCTGCTGCAAATGTGCCCCCCATTCCTGCTCCTTCTCAGTACTTTGCCCCAGCCGTGATCCTACCCAGCCTGCCCATGAACCCCACCCTGCCCATGGCGCCCAACTCGCCTGCCCTGCCCATGCAGGCCGTCAACCTGCCTCACACCACCGTGGCTTCTCTGGTCTTGCCCTGCCAACCCATAGTGCCAAACATGCCGGCCGCCACCATCCCGCTGCTCGCCGTGGCACCGCCAGGGGTGCCCACACTGCCGCCGCACCCTGGGGTGCCGCCGCTGCCGCAGCAGCCCGTGTTCCAGAGCACCTTCCAGCAGATGCTGCCGAGCGACGCACCCTCACCACACCACACGCAGAACACCCAGGCCGTGTCCCAGCCRCAGCAGCCGCCTCCTCCTCCTTCGGCGCTGCAGCCGAGCATAATCCATCCTCCTGAGCAGGCTCTGGCTGCACCTGGGGCCGCTCACCAGGTAAATCTGCCGGGCGTGGGGCCGCGTCGAGCGGTGCTGGGCCGCAGGGCGGTCTGTGGGCACAGCCATTCCCAGGGCTCTCTCCATCACAAATAGTATTCTTTGCTTTTGAGATGTTTTGTTGACTTCTTGATCTCAGCCCTGGAGGTGGTGGCTGGAGCTGTGAGCTCAGGGGTAGCAGGTGATGTCTCACCTCAGGGTGATCAAGGCTATAGGGCATAATCCAACAGGCTTTGGACAGCAAATGAGCAGACCGCTTTCTGAATTCCCTCTTCCTTCTCCATCTCATACCTGAGGAAGTGTGAGCTGTGGTTCTCCTGATCAGAAGGGCATGCCAAGTCTTGTCAGTGCCTGTACCRTGGCCCACATGGGATGCAGGGGCTGTGGGGTACATGCAGCAAAATACGGGGGAACTGGCGGGTACAGAGGAGTTGTTTTGATGTAGAACATCTTAAAAACAGCAAAGGGAAGTGGCCGTCTGGTAATGACTCTGGAAAACTGCATGGAAAAGCACTGTCAGACCTGCAGGGTGGGAGTGGATTCTGGCTGCAGACCCTTTTCGCCTTGACAGAAATGAAGCATAAACAGAGCTCAAGTATTAGCAGTTTTTACATGGAAACTGGCTCAGGATTTGACAGAGTCTGTAAATACCTCTCTCGCCACATCTGTGATAAGTCAACATGAAATACGTGGTCTCCTGACCAAAGCAGGAGAGGGCACTCAATCTGTTGATAACAACATTTGGAAAATCTGTGTTCTGCCACATCTYTTCACCACAACATGCTGATTAAAATTCGTAATCCCATCCCAACGTGCCATGTCATGGCAGCTTCAGACCAGTACATAGTTTTTAAATTTCTCTCTTCAGCCATATATTTGGTACAGAATTACTCTGCTGTTGATAATGTTAACAGCACGGAGCTGGGAATGTTACTCAAGTGTTGCCTGTGGCTTTAGAGGGGATGAAGTCAAGCCCATTAGGCACAGTGAGCATGGCAAACACCAGAAATGCAGAGCTGTTATTCCCAAACCATCCTGATGCAGTCATTAGCTATCAAGCATGTATGGAAGAATTTAGAATGAAAAATAGCTATTACAATGTGCAGAGCAATATTTTAAAATACATTGTTCTGATTTGAAAACTTCTAATAGAGAGGTATTTCTGTATAGAGTACCATGCTGTTTCCAGATTTGATGTTTAGCACCTCTGAGTTTTGTTTTGCCTGGGTATGTCTGTATGGGCCTTTCACTTAAGAATTGAACTTGATTATCCTTGTGGGTTCCCTGCAAGTCAGATTATTCTATGATTCTGTGATTTGACATTGAAATATTTTGTGAATTATTCTAGTAATACAAGATTTAAAATAGAGCCACCCTTCTCTGGCATTACGCCACAATTGTCAGTCTATCAGCCCTCCTTGGGCAGCCATGTGACTCCGAGGTGTTGCGAAGCACATCGTGTYTTTATTTTTTTCCCCATTAAACCCTGGAATAATAGTTTCGGCTCATATCCAGAACCTGCAGAGAGCATGCAGTAATGAAATCATGTGGCCTAGTTCTCATCTGAGTCTTAATTTTTTTAATGTATTTTCCAATRAGTCTCTATGTGATGATACTTCAAAAAAAGTTAAAATTGGGCACACCTAGTACTGAAAGTCTTTTTTCTTCCATATGCTCCTTTCTTTCCTTATTCCTCTTCCCACAAGCTCAGTCCCCCTGGAAAAATACATGATGTACCTAAAAGGAGAATGTTCTGTTTTTAAATGTACAACTCAAAAGGTCTGTTATGCAGAATAACAACCCAGTCTCTAAGGTAGCTGGCATCCTATTGCCTCRGTCTAGTTCCCACCAAGCGCTCGAGTTATTTTAATGCATTGGAGAAATCCACTGAGATAAATAAATCTCCCTCTGTCCACATGAAAGTGTTGGCAAGACTGGGGCCTTGAGGCTTAGCACATCAAGGGTTAAGTTGTGGCTTCAGTGTGTAAACTTCATTAAACTGAAGTAGGACACGTGTATATTCAGTGGAAAAGAGTTAATTGTGCTGTTTGTACCAGGTCCTGGTTCTACATATATGGCAGATTTGTTAAAATATCCTAAGTTAGGTTATGGGTAGACTCTGAGTTTCTCTGCATGGACAGTGTGGGCTTGTTGAAAGCAGAGCAAAATMTTCAGGACAATGAATTAATCACCTAAGATTTTGAAGCAAGTCCAGAGGAGGCCATGGAGATGCTCTAAGGGCTGGGGCTGCTCTGGAGCCAGGCTGGGAGAGCTTGTGCTATTCAGATACTTGGAGAAGAGAAGGCTCCAGGGAGACCTCAGASCCCCTGTCAGTGCCTAAAGGGGCTCCAGGAGAGCTGGAGAGGGACTTTGGCAAGGGTCTGGAGTGCCAGGACAAGAGGGAAATGGCTTCCCACCATTAGAAGGCAGGGATAAATGGGATATTGGGAATAAATTCTTGTCTGTGAGGGTAGTGAGGCCCTGGCATAGGTTTCCTAGAGGAGCTGTGGCTGCCCCATCCCTGTAAGTGTTCAAGGCCAGATTAGATGAGGCTTGGAGCACCCTAGATTAGTGGAAGGTTCCAGCAGRGCCTGGAATGAGATGAGCTTTGAGCTTCCTTCCAAAACAAACAGTTCTGGAAGTCTATGATTTTTCATTTCTTAGCAAACTCTGGCTTTGTCCCTACGAACAAGGTAGTACTTGAGCGATGCACTTTGTCATAATCATACAGAGAGAATCTTTGGCTTTTATTGGGTTATCTCAGAGGAAGTTTARTCTCAGTAGCAGTTACTGAGAGCACCAGTCGCACTGCAAAGTTTGAGTCCTTTCTTTGTGAACAGCAGTGACTTTGCTACCTTGTCACGTAAGTGCCGAGCCCTCGGAGCAGAGGTGTGTGCTAACAGCTCTCATTGTGTTGCAGCCCATGCCTGGACACACTCAGTTTGCTTTGGAAGCTGGAGCCCAGGTGCCTGTGCTGCCGGTGCAGCCCTCGATAGTCATGTCACCGCCTTTGCAGCTGCAGCCGGAACTTGTGCCGCCCTGCGTCGCTCCTGAAGGTGTTCCCCAAGTCCATGGCAGCCTTGCCACAGCTGCCCCGCCTGTCCCCATAGACCCTGGCTTGCCTCTCCAGCCCTCTGCTCTGCTGCAGCTCCAGCCTGATCTTTCCCAGCCACTGGGCCAGCAGCTCCCAGCTCCCTGCTCAGCTGTCTTGGCAGGCGCAGAGACATCTCAAGAGGTAGAGCCCTTCCTCGGAASTAACTCAGCATCCTCAGCCTTGAGCTTCTTAGTTACTCCTTTGTGAAACAATGGGCTTGTTKCGCAAGGGAGGTTATCCCCTTACTGGGTCGAGCCACTGCTCCTCAATGCCAGCAGCTCTGGGTCAGYATTAATTGGCTGTTCTAAATGAAGCTGGTAACCTCATGCTGTACCTTGGGAACTGTCTCATTGAATTAATGAGGCAGCAAGACAAAGCACCTCCTTGTTACTAGCTGAGCACTAGCACAGAGATAGAAATTAGGAAATTCTCACTGTTGTTGAGTTAGATGTTATGTGGAGTTTCACCCATGTTTTGTCCAGTCTTGTTTTAAATGTCTCAAGCACTTGTTCAACCAACCATGCCTTAAGAAACTGCTCTACAATCTGAGTCTTCGTAATCTGAAAGCACACTCCTCAGTCTGAGCCCTATTCCCATCTCATTTTGCATTGTATCCTCCTGTATTGCCTGAAGTAGCTCTACGATTTTTGTTTCTTCCCAGTTCTCTGTGGTCATATAAGCAGGACACGTTTTATTGTTTTCCTTACAGAACTGTCAGCTCCTTCTGTCTGCTATTTTGACTTTACTTTCCTCTCYCATAATTGTTTAATCTTCAGTCAGAATATCACAGAACATTTCCTTCTCTTGAGCTCCCTGTTAAGAAAGCAAAACAAAAAYTTTGGCATTTCTGCTTGATTTCAGGAAATAAGTCTGATTTGTTCTCCATTTCTGGGTGGAAATGTTCCTCTGTGATTCTGTGCTCAAAATTGTTTCTCTTGAGTCTCTGTTCTGAGTTACATTTTCTCTCAAAATATTTATTGCACCTTTTCAAAATGAATCTCTTGTTTTTGCCCATGTGACCATGGCTTGTCATGTGCCTTGACTCCTTAATTCCATTGAAGGCACAGCTCAATGCTGCCTCCAGAAGATGCTCAGGAAGGGCTGTGCTAACACTAAAAATGGATTCTAGTTCCGCATTTTTCCTGTTCATCAATGGCAGTTTAATTCTCATGGAATTAGCATTCTGCTGTGATGTAGGATGTTTCCTGGTGAATGTCTGTGTCCTGTTGGTTAGATGTATCAGAAATGGTAGAGTCTGTCTGTAGTGCTTCACCTGCAGACTCCCCAGAAAAGCTTGGCTGGGTCAGGTGTATCCATCACTCAAAGTATTCCTTCTCCAGCTGTCTTTGTTCTGAATGCACACTCGTGGCAGTGTCAATGCTGGTGCCTTCAGTGCAGGGTCCACCTGATCAGAGATTCTGGAAATATGAACAGATGTCATTGTTGTTGTGCAGATTGATATGGGGGATACAAGTTGTCCTGAGAAACCCATGGGCACTGAGGCACACATTTGTCCTTCCCATCTCACATCCCTTGGAACATTTAACCACTGGTTTGCTTAACTTCATTCTCACGTCCATCTGCAAGTTAACYCCCTTCTCTCACTCAGTTTTAGAAATGAAGCGAGTACCAGTCCAGGTGCTCCCCATGCTTGTTTTCTGACATACTATGCTAAAGTTCTCTTGGGTGTAAGAGAAGTTTCATACCTGTCTATATTATCAAAACMCTGCATTTTGTTGCTACTCTGCCATGACGTTTTTATCTCTTTTGTTGTGTTCGGGCACGCAGCAGCACTTGCATCCAAACCATTCRTGCCTGAACTGGTCAGGCAAAAGAGCTTTTGTAAGGCACTTGGTTAAGTGCATWCCCAAAATGTAGATACATTATGTCTGTGCTCACTGTTCATTAATTTTGCAGTTTTACTGAAACTGCATTTAAGCTTGGCATGGCATATGTGTGATGTTACAGCCAAGGAGTGGGGCTGACTGGTTAACTGCACAGAAGCCTTGGGGCTGACTGGTTAACTGACACAGTACCAGTGGGGCTGRCTGGTTAACTGCAGAGAGCCAGTGGGGCTGACTGGTTAACTGACATAGAACTTGTGGGGCTGACTGGTTAACTGCAGAGAGCCAGTGGGGCTGGCTGGTTAACTGACACAGAACTTGTGGGGCTGACTGGTTAACTGCAGAGAATGTGTGCGGCTGACTGGTTCACCACTGAGCTTTTAACCCCAGCCCACCACTGCTTGAGTGCTAAGCATAGCAGTCAAGGGGCTTGTTTCTAGCTGTGAATCTACAAAAGGATTTTATAGACAAGTGTTTATAAATATATATAAAATTATATATATTTATGGATCTRTCTGGTGTGTGTGTATATACACAGTTATATACATGCATGGATGTGTGTCTGTGTACCTACATGGTAAGTTTGTTACAGCAGGCCTTATAGCTTATAGCWTCACAAATTCCATGAAAATGGGTCTATACAATGCGAAAATCATGCTATGATGTCTGTCCCAGAGCTGCAACCTGTAAAAGGGAAGCTTTTAGGGGAAATTTGTGTAAAGGACAAGAGAACATGATGTGAGGGTGGTGTTCTTAATGATGAATTTTCATTTTTTGTTTGTAAGTTCCTCAGAAATTTTCCCACTAAACCAAACAAAATGAAAATACTGAGCATATTTTAGGAAACTATATAAAGTAATGAAGCTAATTAGCAGATGCATTCAACAGTTAAAAAAAATAGGTGCTTATGTGGAGTTGTCCCTCAATCAGGTTTTGCCATGGTGGTGAGAACTGTTTTTTCTTCCTTTCACCATCTCCTCTGCTGTAGGCAGAGGAAGGGAACTGCAGGTTAGTGGCTCTCTCTGAAAAAGTGGTTGATGATTTGGGCAGAAGTGATGTTGGAGGGGTAAAATGGGACRTTTATTTTATTTACAGGTTCCAAGAACTCGTTAAACAGAATGGTTTTAGAGTTGCTGGTGTCAGCAGCAAAACCTTTCTTTAAGGTCTTTTTAATCTGCCAATATAATGTGTTTGCTTAAATGACTTTTTCTTGCATTTTAGGAGCAGGCAATACAAGACAAACTCCAAGCTCTGTCCCAGAGTTGCGAAAGGTATTGTTATCACCTTTTTGGCATAAGAAATGTTTTTTTTCTGGATGCTATTTTTTCTGACTGACCAGAAGGAGATGGATGGGATCATGTCTAGGGAGAAGCTGCCAGTGCTCTGTGTCCAGTGTGCCTGTTCTGGCACCTCCAGCTCTTTTAATTCCTTCGTTTGGRTGCAGCATCCTAACCTTGGTTCATGTACAGCAGTATGGAATGTCTTTGTTAGGATAACAACTGAAGACGTGCAGCCCCTGACTTGGATGCTGTTGAAGCTGTGTGAAAATCTGCCACAGCAAGATGTTTGGATATATAGTTTGTTCCCCRCTTGGGAATAAACTGGGTGTGCCTAAGTCATGCCCGATAAGGATCCTTCCCCAGCTCTGTTCGAGGGAGGGCTGTGTGGGTGGGAGATGTGTGTTGAGCCTCTCAAAGGTGGTGTTACAGCAAGCACAGGGCACGAGGCCAAAGCCCACTTTGTGGCCTTGCAACTCATGAGGGCATGTGCAAGAGAAGTGATTCTGATGGTGGAAGTAACAATCAGTAATCCTAGAGCCAGGTCAGCTCTCCGCAGGAAGAAATGCCATTCTTGCCAGCCCTCATCTGCCTATTTCTGCCCTCAGAAGCAGAAGAGGAAGCAGCAAGGTTCAGAGGCAGCAGAGAGGGGCTGAGCAGGGGCAGTGGGACTGCCSTCCCTGGGTTCCTGCTCATCCTGTGCCACAGCTCCAGTGCTTGCAGTGAGCCAGATGTTTCAGTGGTTGGGTAYGGATAAGGTAGATGCAAACAGCCTGTCCAGCAGCTGCTGGATCCCTTGCCCACTGCAGGAGCCAGCACCAGCTCTGTCCTTAATTGACTACAAAGCTTTGRAGTTAGGATTTGAGTGATCCTTTCCTGTTTTCCTGAACAGACAAAATGAGTTCAGTTGAAGACACCTGTCCCTGACTGTTTTTATTCTACTCCCCCRTAAAAGTTCATCTGACACAAACCAGTGCAGACCTGCAACCATAAGGTGGAACTTTATCCCAAGCATTTGCTGCTGTTAAGTACTAGGTGGAAAGGGAAATCTAATTTTTTGCAACTACAAATTAATTCTGTCGGGCAATATGTTAGATGTGATAGAACAAAAGGAGTTCATTTTGGTTCTGTAGCCTGTTGCAGAAAGGCAAATTTTCAGTAATCTTTTGAGTCAAGGAGGGTTGTGTTTGAAGCTGGCCGTTGTGAATGTACCAGCATCAGTGGAGCATCAGTGTCAGTACGAGCCTCATACTTGCAGTGGGAGGGCACACTTTTCCAGGGGAAAAAAGCACATCTTGGAGCTGGGTTGTGTTTTTGTAGGATGGAGGGTAATGGCACATGCATCACATGGCTGGGAATTGCCCCAAAGATATAATCTGGGGTATAGCCTATGCAGAAAATGTGTTCCATTTCGTAACACAGGAGTTGCACAGACAAGGTAGCTGCAAAGAGGGTAGAAATACTGTGCAGCTAGTGCAGAATGAGAAGGAAAAGTCTTAAACTTAAGAAAGGGGATGAATTTGTAGATTAGACTTCAATCCTTTTCTGCCTGTATGGCTAAATGAATACAATAATAAATTGTCCAGAAGGGTTATGGAATTTCAGAGGAGCTTTGTAAGATAAGTTTACACACACCTTTGTGAGGACTGATCTAGCCAGAGCTGACCAGCCCTTGGAGTAATAAGTAGGCCAGATGGCCTTGCACAGTTCCTTCCTCAATTGTTTTTTATGAATCTCAGATTTCCTGTAAATTCATTGMATGTTGGTGGTTTTGGTACAGCTGGTAAGACTGTAGCAGCCTTTGTCTGCCACTGAGATTGGCTCAGTTGGGGACAATGTACTGCCTGTAACACCAAAGTCATGAGTTTGATCCCTACTTGGGATCACTTGAGAGTTGGGCTCTGTGATCCTTGTGGGTCCCTTCCAAYTCTGAATATTCTGTGTTTCTGTCTTGGCTGCTAAAATAATGCTGCTGCTGTTGCTAGGTGGTCATCTGATATGTCGGGGCAAAAAACCTTTCTGATCCTTGAGTGCTGCAGAGAGAGGAGAGACATTCTTTTATRGGCTCCTGTACTTACCTCCCTTTTTTCCTCCCTCTCCAATAAACCTAACCTGACCCTGTTTGCCCTTCTGCTGGGARTGCAAAAAAGCAGGAGCTGAGAAAACTTCACCTTAGAAAAGTAAGAACTTGTGCAGTTCAGGGAGGGACTGTCGGGACCCCTGAAGTGAAGGGATTAGGGGATATAGGGATATATTCAGCGTGATGGGACTTGCCCTGTGTTACTGCCAGAAACTAGATCATTTTTGGTAGGAATGGAAGCCAGAGTATGTGCCTGATGTGGAACAGTGCCCTTCACTGACTGAGTATCTTCCAATTGACTCAGTTTCAGCCAAGAAAGTGCCAATGTGCCCTTCCTTTTTTGCAGCCTCTCTTATGTAATTTACCTGTGATGCATGATTTCATCGTGTGTGACTCTGGCTTCATTTTGGGGTTGTTCTTCCTTTTCTTTGTGAAGCTACATGAGTCCAGACGTTGCTTCTGGTAAAGARATGAGTGACAGCTTTGAAGGACTGGTAGGAAGTGGAAAGCAAGAAGGAAAGTCTTCAAAGAAGCATAAGAAATCCACACGTGCTCGTTCGCGCCAGGAGAAGTCCAACAGACCCAAACTGACCATATTAAATGCAAGTACAACCTCTTGGAGGGCAACTTTAGGATTCCTTTGGCTTTACCAGGAATAAGAGTTGTTAATATCTTCATGCAGGTGTGTAACACAGGTGATAAGATGGTGGAGTGCCAGCTTGAAACCCATAACCACAAAATGGTGACGTTCAAGTTTGACTTGGATGGTGATGCGCCAGAGGAAATCGCTACTTACATGGTGAGACGTGGCTGCCTGCGGGCTCTCAGTGCACCCAGCTGTTTCAGGCAGCTCCTCGTGTGCTTGTTGCCGAAGATGTCTGGCAGCTGTGGAATGAGGCATTAATTAAAAAATGACTATTTTCCTTTTTATTTTAATGTGGCCTTCTAGGTAGAGAATGAATTCATCTTGCAGAGTGAAAAAGAGACTTTTATTGAGCAAATGAAGGATATCATTGATAAAGCAGARGATATGCTCAGTGAGGATACAGAGGGAGAGCGAAGTTCTGACCAGGCAGCAAGTCCCCAACAAGATGCTGATAGACTGGAAATGAGTGAGGTAAGAAATGCTAAGTAAAGATTGCTAGTTTGATTCCTTTATCTTAACAACCAGATACTTATATTYATTTTGCATCTTGTGTTTAAAAGAAAAAAAAAAAAAAGTTTCTAGTTAGAAAAATAATGGTTTTGCTCTGTTAAGCCTTGCAGTGTGAGTGGGATGATGCTCCTTGGGATGATGCTCCTCTTGCCCTGATCCAGCCATTTCTTCTCTTGTTTCTTTTGACAGGAAAAGCGTCAGTCTCAAATGAAGGCTCCTGTGTATCAGCAAAATGGTAAGTGTGTGTTTGAATTTCTAGTGGAAGGTGTCCTTCTCATAYCAGGGGGTTGGAACTAGATAGTCTTTAAGGTCCCTTCCAACCCAAACCATCCTGTGATTCCATGGTTCTATGAATACAACTTATACTCAGGTTTTGAGGCACAGAAGAGTTCATGCAGAGGTTTGCACCTGCCCACTACTGGTGGTTGAAGTCTATCTAGAAATAAGGGTGTGACCATGGTCCTTGCTGTTACCAACCTGGCATATTGCAGGGCTAACCGGAATGCATGGAATATCTGGGGATATTTAGGGAAGCCCTGAATGACACAAGCTGATAATTAGTGGTGGAAAAGTCAAGAAGGTGCAGGGAAGCATCCTCTGAGCACAATAATAAATGTATTTACCAGAGGAAGCTAAAAGATTGCATTAGRAGTGTCTAACCACTCAGTTTCCAGCTACACTGGTATTCCGGGGGGAAATTGTGTTAGTATTCTGGGAGTATCTTGGCCTCTGAACACRACTGTRTCCTAGGGGCTGTGCAGACRAGATGGATGGGGAGGGAATGGGCCCTTGGTTCTCTCTGTAAGTGCATGGTGGTGGGATAAATGAGAGGGACCTGGCAGACTTGGTCAGCAGCTAGTTGGAGTCAGCAGTATCCCGGCAGCCATGAGGCCAGCCACATCCGGGGGACATCAGGACCAGCGTCAGTGGCTGGGCCAGAGGGGGGATTGTCGTGCTCTGCTCTGCATTGGGGCAGCCTTGCATCATTTGTTGTGTGAAATTCTGGGCACCACAATACAAAGAAAGGTATTAAGCTATTACAGAGCATCCAAAGGAGGCTAAAAGGAAGGGAAAGAGCTTTGAGTGGAAGCTGTATGAGGAGCAACTGAGGGCACTTGGTCTGTTCAGCCTGGAGAGCAGRAGTCTGAACTCAGACCTCATTGCCATCTTCAGCATSCTCCCAAGGGGCAGCACGGGGGCAGCTCTGATCTCTGTTCCCTGTGATGGACAGGGAGCCAGGGAATGGCAGGAGCTGTGCTAGGGAGGGTCAGGCTGGAGATCAGGGAAAGGTTCTTCCCCCAGAGGGTGGTGTATCAGCAAAATGGTGTGTGTTTGGGACACCAAACAGACTCCCCAGGGAATGGTCCCGGCCCCAAGGCTGGCAGAGCTCCAGGAGCATTTGGACAGTGCACTGCTAGGGATGCCCAGGGTGGGGTTGTTGGGGGGTCTGGGCAGTGCCAGAAGTTGGACTGGGTGATCCCTGTGGGTCCCTTCCATCTCAGGATATTCTGTGATTCTGTGATTCTCTGTTGAAGATTTGCCATTTATATGTAAAACAGGCTTTGAGACAAGATGTGGAAGGACATATTAGTTATAAAACTTCCAGCATGGAAAAATTTGGCTTCATAAACTTGACAAAATGAAGAAATTTGTCAATTTGAGAAAACTGTCCACTGTTCCGTTAATGAAACATTCATGTATGTAACTATGAGAACCCTTCTGAAAGTACGAATACTTGAAAATAAATTTTCAAGTAACTTAAAATACATGGCAGATGTGGAAGGCACTGTTGCCTGCTTTCCAGAAGGGATAAGAATCAGATTTCGAGTAGTTGATTTACTCTTAGCTGATAGTGTAGAAGTTCTAATTTCCTTTCTAAATGTAGAAATTAAGAGTCATGATCTGGAGACAATGGAAATTCATGTGTTTCCTTGTTATTTTCTTTTCATCTCTAGTTTTGCATACTGGAAAGAGGTGGTTTATTATATGTCCAGTGGTGGAAAACCCTACTACGGATGCCCCTGAGTTTTCTCCCCCAGTACCTCCCAGTGCGCAGCAGGCGGAAGGGCCAGGTATCTGCAAACTTCGTAGAAAATGTCTTCTCCAGTGCTTCTGTGTTGTCTCTCTTCAGTCCTCACCTGACTCAGCTGTTATGGTTTCACTTGATTTAGTCAGAGGCGGAAAATGATGAATTTTGTTAAGTTGTGCATTTACAGTGTGTGCTGGTCTTACACCAAATTGGGAATCTTCATCTGAGTTTCAGTGAAGTGTCAGTATTTTAGCTATGCCTTGTGATGTGGGATAGCYGAAATTCTCATCACTGTAATGTCTCCTCAGTGAAATATTTTTTGCATAATTTGRAAATTCTCATTTGGTGTGCCATAAAAGCTATGTTCTGGTGGGAATTGCTCGTGGGTTGTCCCTGCAGCTGGCTGCAGGGCTTGGCGGTGATTTCCTTKCTTTAAAGGTTCACCTTTTGTTTGTATTCTCCCTAGACCTGGAGCAGTCGGATGAACAGCCAGTGAGCTCTGCGGTGACAGAGGTGCCTGGGGTYGGGGCTGGCCAGCCGCTTCCCCTGCACACAGGGGTCTGTGACAGCCCCCTTGGAGCCGCCCTATCCTTGGCACCTGCTCCTGCTGCAGCAGCTCCTGCCAGCCTACCGAGCCAGACGGAGTTCCCAGCCCCAGTACCGCTGGGATCCGCCCCAAACATCCCGGAGTCGGCAGCGGCCAGCGGGGCTCAGCCCAGCGGGGCTCAGCCAGAGCTCCCTCAGCCCGGCGCCCCGGCCGCTCGAGCCGCGGGCCCGGAGGAGCCGCCCGACGCCGCGGGCCCGGCGCTGGGGCCGCAGCCGCAGGGGCAGGCGGATGATCCCTCGTGTTCGCCCGACGTGGAGCTGGCCTGCTGCAGCGTGGGGCCGCAGCAGGCGCTGCCCTCAGTGCCTGTCCCGCTGGCCGCGCTGCCGGACGCCGTGGTGCTGGAGCGGCAGCCGGCACCGCAGGGGCCGCACCTGCCAGAGGGCAGTCAGCCCGCCTCGGAGCCACACGCCCTCGGCAGCCAGCCCTTCACCGCCCCCGTTGGCCCCGAAGTCCTGGGCTTGGCAGGCTCCCAGCTCCAGAGCCCTACGCAGGTGCCGCTGGCCATGTCCCAACAGCCGCCGCCGGCCCCGCAGCCGGTGRCCGGCCCCGGGGCGGGAGTTGGCCTGCTCCAGCAGCAGAACCCCCCCGGCACCGCCGAGTCCGATGGGGAGGGACCCCCCAGGGTGGACTTTGTGGACAACACGATTAAAAGCCTCGATGAGAAGCTGCGCAATTTGCTGTACCAGGAATATGTTCCGACTTCTGCGTCGGCAGGGACGCCGGACACCTCTGTGCCCCCYGAACAGGGCGAGAGTGAATTTACCTTACCACCTTTTCCTGAAGAGCAAGCTCCTGCCCTGGCCTTGGATGGACGAGAGCCARGCTATAGCATTCCGGACACAGCCCAGGAGGTGAAAGCTGCTGCCGAGCCACTGGTACCCCTTGTGCCCTCRGAGGTCTTGCCCTGCCCACCACTGGTCAGTCCTGCAGTGGCTCTGCCCTTCATTCCCTCAAAGCCTKACTGTAGGGCCAGCATCAGGGCAGAGCTCAGGACCCACTCTCCTGCAGTAGGACACATGTAGATCTCTTGCTTCCCTAAACATATCTCTGCCCCAGGGTATGTTACCTTTGCCTGCTGACTGCTTTCCAACGTGAAAGCTCGCCTAAATTTTTCTTGTCAGATGCATCCCAACTCWTTTTTCACAGAGCCTGTTAGTGAAAGCCAGACTTTTCCCTTTTGGATTTAAAAGTGTTTTTATTAAACACTTTTGTGTCCTGCTCTTCTGTCCTGTGTGCAAAGCAGGCAGAAATGTATCCATTGCTTTATACTCTAAGAATRTAAAACGCATGAGTGCTTTAGTCATTTTAGTTCTAATGAAGACAATTTTGCTTCGATTTTAAGTATAGATGAATGGTAGTGGTTGCTATTATTGCCTTCCAAGTCAGCCTGGATAAAGCAAACACTTCAACTGCCTTTGCCTTGTTCACGTTCTGCAGCCAGAGGCAGATATTCCATTGGTGGGAGTTTCTTCTGTTTCCTGTAATAGTTTCTTCTGTCTTCTGAGCTTGGTAGAGCAAGACTGCCATGGAAGCCTTTAAGGAAAGAGGTAGCAGGGAGTCTGGGGCACTCTGTGTCTCAGTTGAAGCCCACATGTTAAGTTTTATCAGCTAAAATCCTGAATTTGTGGTATTTGCAGCACACTGTGCTGATCAGTGCCTATTCCAGGTCCTGGCACAGGTTCCCAGAGCAGCTGTGGCTGGTCTATTCCTGGAAGTGTCCAAGGCCAGGTTGGACAGGGCTTAGAGCAGGCTGGGATAGTGAAAGGTGGAAGGTGTCCCTGCCCATGGCAGGGGGTGGAACAGGATGAGCTTTGAAGTCCTTTCCAACCCAAACCATTCCATGATCTTACTTCTATATCTCACTTCAAAAGTAGCATTTCAGGAGATAACTCCATCCCCACTAGCAAGGCTGAGCCTGGTCTGTGTAGGATCAGCTGGAGGGACTCTATCAACTGCCTGAGAGACGCTGTCTGGTACAAGAAGGCAGCTGCACTCGAGTGGCTCTTCAGAGTTTGTTCTTTTCTAATGATAAATTACTTYCTACAGCAAACAATTCTCTCTCCATGAAAGGTGTTATGTTTCTCCAATAACTGGAATTTGTCCTATTAAAATCTGTGCCAATAAGGAAAGAGACATAGAATTTCTGAAGACAGACATACAGATGAGGAAATGCACAGTCTGGCTGGAAAAGCAAACCAGAACAAAACCCCGAATGTGTGTTTATATAGTATACTGGTTTGTAGTAGTTTGGGCKGCAGTTCCAACTGTGATTCTGCCACTGCCTTATTTTTTCCAAGTAAGGAAAAAAAATTGAGGAGTTGGAGGCAAAATTTGAAGGCCACTTCCACAGTCACTGATAAATAGTTCAGTATTCCCTGATTAGTGCCAGGGCAGCAAGGGGACGCGAGGGAMGGAGAACACATTCTGCTTTGTGAGTGAGACTGAAACTGTGTTTCTTTTTTCCTTTTACTGAAAATTTGACAAGTCGGAGGTCCCTGGTGTCGGTGCTCATCCCTCAGAGACAAGAGGTGGGTCAGCAGGCAGAACAGGTAATACTCCTCCGGTGACCCCTGCTCCGTGTCCCCTCACTGCTCACCTGCTGCTGCGTGCAGAGCATTGCCCAGCACTGGTGCTCCTGATGCTGCTTTTGATACAACCCATATTAAACATCTCCTTTTTGTTGATTYCCCTAGAAAGTGCCTCTCAGGCAGATTTATTTTAATTTATAGGTACAATGCCTGTCTGTGGTATAGGTATGGGGTATTCACATGGAAGGCTGCATTCCCAATGATCAGTTTCCCCTAAAAAATCCCTCAGAATTCCTGGATTTCATGAAAACATATTGACAAAAGTAACATGATCAGTGGTTGCATCTCTGGGGGAATCCTGCTGGGTTCTCAGGGCAGTCCCGCAGAGGGCTAGTAAAGAGTACTTCTCTTAGGGTGCTTGTAGCTAAATGACCCTTCCTATGGTAACAAAGTAGAAGCCACAGAAAGAACCTGCCTGTTTATTTACCTGTTTACATATTTATTTACCTCTATTCACCTATTTATTTGCCTGCATTACCARTTAATTCACCTGCATTTACCTTTCTTGACACCATGGGAAGTTCTCTGGGCAGAGGAAGGCCACACTGCTCCTGCTTTTATGGGGTGGAGGGGAGGGTTGGGGAAGGCTGCTAATATATCTGGTTTTTTAGGTTGTTGTGGCAGGTCTGGCTGCCAGGCCTGTGTGACAGTGGCAGGTTGTTCTCTTCCTGGTCGACAYTGATTGTCCCCTGATTTTAGGGCAGTGTGAGAGGGCTTTTGGTAGCTGACATCTGCCCATCTCCCTACGGACAAGGAAGAGAGTTTACAAGTGCTATGTAGCAGTGTGTAGTAGAGTCAGTGTATCTCAGAAAGCACGGATGTGTGTCACCATTTCAGAGCTCCAGATCTGACCATGTCCTCACTCTGTGCAATGTGCTGTGTGAACGCAGTATTCTCAAAAGCTTGGGTGTATTGGTCTTGCTTCAAAACCAGTATCCAGGGTGTGAAATAATAGTGGCTTGATTCCTGCTGCTAATATTGTGCTTCTGGTGTGATTCTGTGGGCTGAATGACTTGGTTTTGGGCTTMTAATTTCCTTTTTAGCAGCGTGCATTTAACTTCATTTCAGACACTTTTCTGTTGTTGTCACTGTGTATCAGTGGAAGGACTGAGACAGCAGCCCTGTATGTCTCTGAGACACCAAGGATGCCAAGATAGTGCAGGTCCAATTGTACCATTAAAAGGTTTCATTCATCTTTTGGTTCTCTCCTTAAAAATTTTCAACTGACTAATGAAGTTCCACACTCCTATTATTATTTGGATTCCCCTAATCCCTAGATCTGCCTACCTACAGGTATTTTATGTTGCCATTGCTATTACCTCCTGCGTAATACAGGACCTAAACTATTATTTTAAATTATTCTTCAGTGATACACTTTAGTTTATCAGAATAAAAATATTGGCTTTTATTACATTAAAGCATTCCACATGTAAATATTTTTTCTCCAACTTTGAAACAGATCCAGCTGCAAGCATCASTTCAGCTCCTGCTGCTCCAGCAAAAGGCTTCCTTCAGGTAACCAGAACTAAGAGTGGTTTTCTACTTGATTGTTACAGTTACTTTCGTTAAGCTCTCTTRTTTTCTCCAGGTTGCACCTACATCATCAAGCATAACGCCACAGATGGAGACTTCCCAGAGGAGCGAGGAGGCAGAGAGGACARCTTTGCCCGTGCACACAGAGAGTGTGACGCGGCGATCGACAGCAGATGGGGTGATGAGTAACTTGCACAGGGATGGCTCTCTAGACTCTGGTGCCTATGGAAAACAGGCTGAGGCTCGGGAGAGCGGCACACCAGCCAAAACCATTGGCAGGTTTTCAGTCATCAGCACGCAGGATGAATTGACTCTARTGGCACCGCACTGCTTGAGGTTCTCAGCACCCCCAGACGTCTACCTGAACGAGCTGCCCTCCAGCCCGGACATGAAGGCTGCTGTCCGCAGGGTTCAAACGGCCTCTTCCGTCGATGTCCTCTGCGACCAAGTGTCGAGTGACTCTGCTGATGAGCACCTCCCCCGGCAGCCGGCTGCTGCTGCCCAGTTCTCCCCTGCCAGCGGCAGCACAGCCACGGACTTAATTAAAAAAGCAGCTGCTTTTCTGCAGAGGTCTGGCAAAGGCGGCTCGCCCAGCCCGGAGTCGCCCAACGGGCAAGGTGCGAAGATTCCTACCATCAACATAACATCCTTCCACTCGCAGTCGTCCTACATGAGCAGTGACAATGACTCAGAGTTTGAAGATGCTGATATGAAGAAAGAATTGCAGAACCTGAGAGAAAAGTATGTTGGGTTGCAAGCAATGCGAGGGAAGCTTGTGTCACCATCCCTTGGCAGCAGCTCAGCTTAGGATGAGCAGGGCTGTAAGGAGTAAACTGATTCTGGGCAAATGAGCCATTGCCAGGACTTTCCCCCAGATGTCACAGTGTGTTCTGCTGTGCATTGCCTTAGTTGCCAGTTCCATTTAGAAGAATAATTCATAGAACCCCAGAATGGTTTGGGTTGGAAAGGACTTCAGAGCTCATCCAGTTCCACATCCTGCCAAGCRTGGGGACACCTTCCACTATATAAGGTTTCTCCAAGACCCATCCAACCTGGCCTTGAATGATAACTGCATAATTCAATTATAGTTCAGTAGTAACTTAACAATTTAATAATGACTTTTTAACATCTTCTGATAGGCTGTTGTGCTGCCAGCCTTGAGAGCTCACTGCTTTAAATTTGCACGTTTTCTTTCAATCCTGTCAGATGATTGATAAAAACTTGCATTAGAGGGTAGTAAAAATAAAATGTTCTGTTAGAGTATAATGGTTTTTCTGAATACAGATTTTGGATCTTTTTAAAACAGAACTACAGTAAAACAAAACCTTTAAAATGACAKTATGGCATCATGAAATCTTCACTGTAAATAAGATAGTGGTTTCTGTGCTGATTTCATTATATGGGAAACATTTGTGTTCTCCTTTGTGTTGAACTCCTTCACACTGGTGTACTTGCCTTGAGAGTTCACTGTTTTGAAGCAGCTGATTTGAAGAGAGAGATTCTGGCGTCGGTTTGGGTTCCTGCCAGATTTCTTGTCAATATCAGTTGGTTTGGCTGAGGATGTTGAAAGTCTCTCTAAATTGTCTGGGCTTTGTTTTCAATAGATGAATACTTAAGAAATCAGTCACAGATCCCAGAATGGTTTGGATTGRAAGAGACCTYAAAGCTCATCTGGTTCAAGCTCTTGCCATAGACAGGGACACCTTCCACTATTGCAAGTTGCTCCAAGCTCCATCCAACCTGGCCATGGACCATTACAGGGATGGGGGGGTCACCACAGATAGATCATTACAGCTTTGCATACTTGGGAATGAGCAGCTGGTTGTTTTGTGACCAACAACTGTTTTGTTTCCTCTTCTACAATTAATTATGCTGTCAGGATGTGGTGCTTTATCAAATACATTGCTAGCAGAGTTCTTTTATTTTTTTTAGGCATATGAAAGAAATTGCTGAGCTCCAGACACAGCAAAAGAATGAGATCGAGGCGCTATATATGCGGCTGGGGAAACCCCTTCCTCCCAACCTGGGCTTCCTTCACTCTGCTCCACCGAGTGGCCGGCGCCGAAGAACCGGCAAAAACAAATTAAAAGCTGGAAAGCTCTTAAACCCTCTGGTCCAGCAGCTCAGGAGTGGAACATCAAGCACAAGTAGGTACCTTGGGTGCTTCCCTTTGCCAGTTGCTTGTGTCAGTTGTGCCTCTGCTGTGTGATGGCTGGGCCTCCTGCAATGGACAGAATTTTTGTTGGTTTTTAACTGGCGTACTTTTGGCAGGCTTATCCCAACTCCCAGTGGTGAGCCATACCTGCCTGCTCTGCATTGGCAACAGTGCTTGGCAGAGGGGTAATATTCCACTTTAATTTGGGAAACAGCCTGGTTACATCTTGTTTCTMCAAGTGCAATTTATTGATGTTTGCATTCCCTTCCTAGGTGCTGTTATCCTCTATTGATTGAGGTGCTGTATCTTGTTGTTTACTTTTTCCTCCAAGATGCCATATAAAAAAGATGGGATTGCATTTGCTCCCCCAAAGGATGGGAAGTAAAAGAAGTTATAAAACCATGATGAGTGCTTTGACCCTCTGAAGTTGTGTGAGATTTTCACACAGCACTACAGTTTTGTCATCTCCTGGAAAAGTATAAAAATATAGTTTGGCTGGGGAGTACTGATATACCCCAGTGCTATTTCTTCAGAAAAATGTAGAATAGAATATGAATAGTTTTTCTTCAGCTTAGTTCATGCTGTTATTTAGGAGGGCAGCAGCCTTTCCAGCATCCACCCTGTATTTCAAAGCTGGTGGATCTTGTTTTCCCTGTCACTCTATCAGAGGTCCCCTTCGAATTTCATTGCATCARTCTTTATAGACAGGGTGTTGAGGARGTTTTCCCTTTTAGTTAAGGATTTYAGCTGTGTAGGGAAAAACGAGTGTATTCAGAGGCAATGAGTTCTGTAGCCCATCTTGAGTGTTCTTGCCCACAAGGACTGAARCAGTGTTTGATACTTTCTGTACTTCTACATCTATCTAGATATTTATATATTCATACTTTTYTGTAGATAAATGTCTCTATCTGTRCTTGTGTCTACACAGATCTCTCGAGTAAAAGGGCTCTAAAATGAAAATACTTTTGCAATCATGTGTTATATGAATTTATCAGCAGAAGCATCTAACAGTGGCAAATTGCAATTATACTCAGATATAAATAAAAAATTCCTTGTGTCTTTGCAGGAACTTTTTATTGTTCTCCATATGCTTAATTTCACCTTTGGTGCTGGAGAGTAACCTCTGTGTCCTGCTTTGTCATTCCCTGTATTCATTCTCCTCCTCAGCACCCCAGCAGCTATCTCTTTATTCCAACAGTGCTTCTTCTGAGGCTTCTGCAAATGCAGAGGAGARAGTGTAAAAATCAGGCCCACTGCAYGAGCTTCTTGGAGAAACAGGGTCAGTGATAGGATGTATTACTTTCTGGTGCGGGCTGTSCCCAAAGTCTGTGCTCCATCCAGTACATCAAAATGGTGAATGACTGTTCCTCTTGGGGTCARGTTATGGRTTATTTTTAAGCAGAGATTTTTTAYTCAGAGATTTAGTTGCATTTCCCATTGCATATGTACTGTTTGTTTGCTCTTGCAGGTAATCTTTCAGACTCTAAAGACTCGCCCCACAAAGAAACAAGTAAATTGCAGCTGGGCTCCCCCGAAGCAGCCGCAGTGCCTCCCGCCACAGCCCCTACCTTTGGGAAGGCTGTGCAGACCCAGCAGCCCTGCTCTGTCAAAGCCTCTCTGTCCTCTGACATCTGCTCCGGCCTGGGCCCCGACGGAGGTGACGCCAACACAAGCTCTGGCCAAGGTGATTTTTCCTGCCAGCTGTTTCGTGTCTCTTCCAGYGCAGCTAAAATTAGTTCCCCTCCCTTAGTCTTAACTTCTTAGGAGTGATAGAGAAACATGAACCTTTGACAATCCAAATTACTGGCTTTTCTTTAAAAAGATCATTGCAGTAYTGTCAGAAGAGCAAAATTTAAGTATCTTACTGAGTGTTACCAGCACGCAAGAAGGCATGCCCAAGACATCCCTAATTTTTAGGGATGAAATACCTTTCAGTTTTGCCAGCAGTGGCTTTAACCAAATACCTTTTCTGGAGTCGGCCTTACAGATTTCTGAGAAAAAATTAAAGGAAGACAAAAAAGATGCAGAAGGATGGGAGATTGTTTCCCTTGTTTTATTGGTTTTTTTTAGCCCCTTGATTCTGGTAGACGCCAAGTTATAAACTACCRAACCATCCTGGGCATGAGGGAAAATAAAAATGAAATTTAAAGAAAATGAAACCCATGGGACCATGTTTCCTTTCTGTAGGAGGTTCACTCAGTGCAAAATTTTGGAGTCCCAGCCAGGACTGTAGACTGGCTGTGCTCCYCAGACTCCAGCTCTGAGACCTCTGTGTACTGCCCCGTTGTAGCTTTGATCTCGTTGCCATGCATATGGGAAGTTCCAATGATGATTAAAATGCCTTCCTCTCATTGCACATCCTGCCAAACTAATCTGCAAAATATCTATCTGTCCTCTTCTGCTGTTATTGCATCCTTTGTGTATGGTCAGTGAATTTGCTCCTCTTTGGCAAAGTTAAGGGGGAGATGTGGAGTTTTAACTAACAAAGCTGATTTGACTGATGGTTTAGGACATCTGATCACAGCTACTTGTACTTTATAAGTGTCTTTGTTTTCTTCCCTTTATATTCATTTACAGGCTGGACGGTTTTCCACCAAACGTCTGAGAGAGTGACCTATAAATCTAGTAGCAAACCTCGTACCAGATTCCTCAGTGGACCTGTGTCTTTGTCCATCTGTTTGTATTTGTTCTTTTGTATTTTATCACAGTCCATCTTTCTTTTACCCCCTTTTTCCAATTCCATGGTTTATATCTCTTAATATGTTTGGCAGGATGCCCCTTTTTCTGAACCATCTTTACTTTCTATTTTTCTTTCTTTTAAGTAATCATCATGAACACACCTTATTTATATTAATTTTTCATATGAAAGCTTTTTTTGCACTGCTTTTGGCTCATGCCTGGGCACCAAAAGCATGTGTGGAAGATCTCATCATTTATGATATATAGCCTGATGGTAAATTTTACCTTGGACTTACCAAAGCTTTTGTACTTTATGTGATTTCTGTTGAAGTAATTTTATTTGCAATGTGGCAAATATACATGTCTGCTGTCCCGGTTCCAGCGACAACAAAACGAAATCCATCCTTCTGTAGACGAATGGTCTCTTTCACACATGTTTGGACTCTGAAGACATGCATGTAGCAAGCTGATACAATTCTAGAAGGTCACTGGAGGGTATAACTTCCATACAAGGGCTGTATTAACACGATATACAGTACTGTTTATATCCACTCTATTTTCTTTAATTTTTTCCCCGCTCTTTGCATGTGGAAATGCTGAGACAATAGTGCTCCAGCTAGTTCTTTCCAAATCTCTGTCCTAGGTGGGCTTTTCCCCATGCAGTTATTTTAATTAAGTGAGCAATTTTTTTATGTACTCATAATAAGCAGGAAGATCTCGTTACTCTAAGGGAGAGTCCCATCAACTTTTTATGTAAGCTGATCTGGCTGAAGCACTTGACTCAGTTTATTTTCTTATGACCTTATGTGACCTCAGAGATGAAGTCAATTAGCAGTTCACCAAAGCATAAACAAGTAAAAGGCAATATCAGAGATTTTCAGATGATACTTGGAAATGGATTGCTAGGATCCAGCAGTTTTGTCTCAAATAACTGTGCACCTTCTATTTGTACTCTATTCATCTGACTWCTAAAGTAATTGGCAATTCCACCAAAGAATATCAAGCTATTTAATGAAAAAATTAATACTTTTTTTACCCAATTATAGATGCTGCTTTTTAGGCAAACGGATTTTGCTTGTACAATAAAGATATGTTGTGCTGAACAGGTACTATAGGCCACTTACATATAAACTTAGAAGGACTGATAAGGTTCTTGAGAAAGTGCTTGGTTAAGTAACTGTGGGTTTGCAGTAATATCRGATCTCCCCTTCAAGTTCTGCATTTCTCATTACTATCCAAGTGGTTCAGGTCAAAGGCACAAGACCACTCAAATACGCTTCTCCTAATTTTATGAATAAACAGTATTTTAAAAAATAATCTTGATTTTTTTGTTGTTGTTGTCTGAGCTCCCTGAAAGCCCAAGCATTCAGGTGACTGACATTTACAGAATTATTATTGTGTAAGCTTTTAGYGACTGGTGAAGTCATGAGAAAATTTTGCATTTAGGGATTTTTTTGGAGACCCTGAGGGGAATGCTGAGCTCCCTTCCCATTTGGTGGTATAGCAGCCACAGTAATTTCTTCCTCTGCACATGTAATTCCCAGAAGTTGTTTCATTAATCTTCCATGGAATTACTGTTCAGTAGGATGCAGAAAGACTAGGAGATGGCAATTAAAAACCAGTGTATTAAAAATGTTTGGATGCATGGATATTGTGAGTAAAACCAAGGGAATATGTAAATCCATTGAATTGTGGAGTTTCCTGATGCCTAAATAACTTGACATGACTAATTGCTTTCTGTTCTCAGCACGTGTGCTCTCTCAGGTTCTTTTGGGAAGTGCTGGGGGAGGTTTGGCCTCCCCCATTCCTGAGTCACAGGAGGGGATGGATGGCAGTTCAGGCACTTTCCATGGCACTGCAATCCTAAGTCACCACTGAGGGTTCCAATCCTGAGAGCAGAGCTTGGCTTCCAGGGCTGCCTGTCACCCGGGGTGCTCGGCGGGTCCCCACAGCTGAGTGATGGGCAGGTTCTGGTGGGCCAGGAGCTTGCTCCAGCTTGTTTTCCTGGTGAGCCCAGCAGGTTGGTTTTATGTGTGTGTGACGGGCTGGGGCTGGGGCTCTGTGCAGTCCTGTGCGTCCCTGAGGGCAGCTGGGGCTGCATCTGGAAGGATGTTCAGCACAGTKTTCTATGGAGCTGGTGTCCAGAGAAGCCATGACTGTGGCCTCAGGAAGAATAGTGCTTGAGGAAGGCCAGGTTGGACAGACCTTGAAGCAATCTGGGATAGTAGAAGGTGTCCCTGCCCCTGGCAGGGAGTTGGAACAAGATGGACTTCTAAGGTCCCTTCCAGTCTAAACCATCCTTTAATACTAATATTTGAAGATCATGATGCTGGCAATGCCAGCTGGCTCATGTCTCCCTCTAGAAGGGACATCATTTGACCCTTTAGGCAAGCAAAGCCAAGCATTTGGATTAGGTACTAAGCATATTTGCATCCATGCCCCATTCCTGGAAGTGTTTAARGCCAGGCTGGACAGGGCTTGGAGCACCCTGGGATAGTGGAAAGTGCTCCTGCCCATGGCAGGGGGTGGAATGGGATGGGCTTTAAAGTCCCTTCCAACCCAAACCGTTCCAGACAGGATTCCATCCTCCATGGTTGTGCAGGGCTGGGACRCRGCTGTGCAGTGCCAGCAGCTCAGTGACATGTCCAGACAGTTCAGAGTCCTGGGTGTATTCCGTAAGTCAAGGATTCCCTGGCATTTTTTTGTTTGAGAGCTGTAGGGAAACAGTACTGCATTTTCAGAAAATCTCTGAATCTGATTGTTTGGTTGAGGAAAAACAGCCCTTTGGTGAGGTGGGATATTCCAGTAGCAGACCTGCTGCACTGGCAGGAAAGTTGGCAGTAACTTGAAAAATAAATGTTTAGATGGATTAAAGACTGGATCACAAGGACCATGCTCTGGTTACAAGATCCATCAGACTTGAACACTTCCACAGCATTCTCCAGGACTTTTTGATCTATCCAATACTGACTTCTCCTTTCTATGTTTAATGAAGTAAAATATTTTTGATGGGCTTTGGCATAATTTTAGCCTGACTTCCTTTCCTGAGTTAAACTGCAAGRGTGCCCTAGGGTAGAGTTTCCACTGATCGTGAGTGGAATTTTCAAAGCTCCATTTGGTTAGGTTTGGAATCTTGTGCAAAGCAATTTTTGCCAGGTCTGCAGCAATTCATATATTGTATGTGCATATGCAGTTATGGAAATGGTCTAGCAGCTTATTGCCATTTCCATTTTTTTTTTTTTTTTTTTTTTTTTTCCCTTTTTTTTTTTTTTTTTTTTTTTTGTTTTTTTTTTTTTTTTTTTTTTTTTTTTTTTTTTTTTTTTAGCTTTCCAGCTTTTTGGCAGCTATTGAGTGCAAATATGGGACAGTGAATTTTTTCTGTTCTGTATGATATAATAGCTGTTTCATTCCTCAGGTAAAAGATCTGGAACTGGAGGTAAAATGCTCTGCTGAACTTGCACAGTCTTACATTAAATTTTAATTATGATTCATATCCTTAACTTTCCCATTCTTAAACACCTTAATTTTAGCAATAATAAAATGATTCCAGTGAATTAGATCTACAAAGTGAATTTTTAGTTGAGTTTGAATTCATAAGCAGCCATGGCCCATGACTGTCAATCCCTGTTTCAGTCAGTCTCACCACTCAGGGAGGGTTTCCCATCTCCCAGGCTGCCCCACGCTGGAGTGATACTGCTGGGAAGGAAAGCTCTCGTTTGGTGCCTGACTCTCTGTAATGTTTTCCTCAGAGCAGGCGCCCCTCATGCCAGTGTTTTGTGAGTCTGTTGAGTATCACTGCTCTTTGTCGCTTCCCAGGGTCTGATTTGGCACCTGAGGTGTAGGGACACCTGTGGCTGGGTGTGCAGGAAGCAGAGGGGTCGGTAATTAAAATGTTTTTACATGCATTTGAGCACGTACTGCGGTCAGCTGCCTGCTTTTATTTCTCACAGGCAGTTGCTTTCCATTTGCATTGATATTGTGCTAAGAACTGCCTGTTGCTGCAGGAAATAACCTTCTAGGATTGCTGCCACGGCCACTGCCATCATGGGGAGTTGTTTCCGTTGTGGGAATTGGTAGCTAACTTKGGGATAGGCAAGGTAAGGTATATCTTAAGGAAAAGAGGGGAGAAGTTTTGAGAATACAACACAGATGGTTGAGTTGTGAATGTGACCGTGTGTTATCTGGGCTTTGAGACGAGAACTAAACTTGGTCATGCTTGCATTGTTGTAGTCATGTCCTTATGATTTTCCCAGGRTAGAAACCTACATGAAATAATATGAAATAATAAGAAATTCTTCCAAAGCAATCCTCTTTTCCTCATGCCACTCATWTCCAAGCACAAACATCTCTTCTTCCTTTTTGCCTCCCTCCCTYGTTTCTTTACTTCCTCAGTCTCTGACTGAAATCTCTACTTTCTCCTCTGAAGACTCATTCAGGGCCTGTGTCAGCCTGGACCTGCAATCTCTGAGTTTAAAGCTGCATTTCTGGCACAGTAACATAAAAYGTTACACCACTGTTCAGAGAAAAAGCACATCCATCCTCTATCTTACTTTTTTGCCCCACTCTGATTTTGCTCATGGTTTCAAATGCTTCTTCCCAATGGACTTGCCATAGCCCATGTCAGACACTCATCTTCCCCCATACCATAACAATATTCTTATCAAGTCCAAAATACCTTTCAGGAAATTTGGCACCCAAATAGCAACGGTGCCAATGTCTGGCAAGATTTGACGGTCGAATCGGGGTCTCRGCACACTTCTGGCACTCTGCTATCTGTCAACAGACTGTCAAATCATGATGAAGAATGGAACGAGGCAATAATGAAAAAAACACATAGTTTAGTTAAATTRAAACTTGGCTACTCTGCTGGATTGCACTTGGACAAGATGTAAGGGAAACTCATTCACAGTTCYGTTCAATTGAAGTTCAGAGTCTCACATTTAGACACAAATGCTACAGATAAAGTATTTGGAAACAATTGGCCTCAGACCTGCAGAACAATGTATCTTTTTGGACTTGTAAAACAGGATTTTTTGGATTATTTTATGGTTTGTCCTTGCAGCCAGACTAGCTTGACTTGTTCCTGAAAGCATTTTTGGCCTCCAATCACAAACTAAATTGACATCATTTCCTGCATTAATAGAAAACGAATCAAAACCTCCTATTAGGAAGCCAATA